TCCCACCCTGTAATGAAAACCAAGTGGTGACACCCTGGGGTAATCTCCCCATCTCAGAATCCAGACCTTCACCACATCTCTCTCCCTCTTAACACCATCTCGCTGCTTTCCATCCCTGCTGTGTGGCCCCTTTCCTCACAGGGTCTACACTACCTGCCACTGCGCATGTGCGACAGAGCCAGATCTGCTTTCCATCCGTCCGTCCCTCTTCCCTTCCGCTGGTGCGTTCCCAGAGGCAAATGTTGGCTTGTTCCTCAGACTGAAAGTCTCGTACTCACTCTTTCTACTTGCCAGTGTTTGCACGTCTGCCCACTCACCAAGAACACACGGACAGCACACTTTGACCCCGGGGCTTATATTATTACTGCTTTTTAATCTTCTCAGGTAACACCATTATATAAAGCTCCTTTATATGGCATCACGCTATGACAGAAGCCAGGCCTGGACATCTGGTGCCAGAGAATCTTGGGAATGAAGAAGATCCTCCCCTGGGAAGACTGTTTCAAGATGGATCCACGGCCTGGCAGCTCTGGTCTCTCCGCCAGGGAAACAGCAGCACAATGAAGGGGCTGACAAGAGGTTTGGGTGGAGGAGAGCTTGAGACTGGTGCTCAGGAGAGAGCAAGGCCATGAAGTGGATCCTGCCCCTGGCTCAGGAAGCTCGTGGTTAAGATGAGAAGGGAGGGCCCTCTCTGTGCTCCGCTTTGAGGCAGGAGTGTGCACAAATAATAGCAGCTTGGTGTTTGCGGGGCTGGCAACCGTGAAGGAAAAGGGTCACCATCCTTTACTGCAGTGTAGTTAGGACCATCTGTACACACAGGATATCCAGAACATTCTCAATGTACTTTCCTTCCAGGCTCCTCCTCCTCCTCTTCTTCTTTTTGGTTTTTTGAGACACAGTTTCTCTGTGTAGCTTTGCAGACCAGGCTGGCCTCGACCTCACAGAGCTCCACCTACCTCTGCCTCCTGAGTGCTAGGATTAAAAGTGTGCACCACCAACGCCCAGCTCAGGCTATTCTTTTTTTTTAAAAACCAAAACCCTATAGAGTCTCACTATGTAGCCCAGCCCAGCCTCAATCTTAATAATCCTCCTGCCTCAGCCTCCTTAATGTGCCCTCAGTTTAATACGATTTAAAGGAACCCATACAGGAGTTACTGGATAGGAGGGGAGTGGGTGTAATGTCCTGAGGCTTCTCCAGGCTCATTTTATACTAGGAACCACTGTTCACTGGCAGCCTTCTCCACGAAAGCCTTCCCTCACTTTTGCACACGCCTCATGAGCAACTATTACACGGTCAGCATGGGGTGGGAGTGGGAGGCTGCTGGGAATCCAAGTCCTTAGAGACTCAGTCTAGTTTTACTAGGGCCACTGGGACAGAAACACAGCAACAAGCTAAGTGTAGTTATTTCCCATCAGATGTAGGGAGTCCGACTGCTTCTCGCCTGGCCTTCCCTCTGAGAACGGGCAGTGGAGAAGAACCAGGGACTGAGTTTCTGTCAGAGCCACGTGCTGGTCTTCACAGGTGTGTCCTCTAGGCTCCGTGGGCGGCATTTGTGACTCAGACTGCGGGAGGGACTCCCCCACTGTTCCTGCTATGACAGGTCACATTGGTAGGAAGCGGCATCGCATGTTCTGGGTCCTTTGGCATCAAACAGTTTCTCTTGCATCCCACTGTTTCAATGAGCTGGAACCCCTTCCTAGGAATTTCCACATCTGGGGCTTTTGACAGAGCTCCTGGAGTGCCTCAGGGTGAGCAGGGAAAGGTGAGCTGTATCTTAGTTTCTCTCTGCTTCTGTGATGAAATGCTCTGACCCAAAGCAACTCAGGGAGGAACAGGGTGATTCCATCTTACACTTCCAGGTCACTGAGGGAAGTCAGGGCAGGAACTGGGAGCAGAAACCATGGAGGAATGCTGCTTCCTGGCTGGCTTGTTGGCTTGTTCCGAGGCTCATGCTTAACTACCTTCTTCTTCTTCTTCTTCTTCTTCTTCTTCTTCTTCTTCTTCTTCTTCTTCTTCTTCTTCTTCTTCTTCTTCTTCTTCCTCCTCCTCCTCCTCCTCCTCCTCCTCCTCCTCCTCCTCCTCCTCCTCCTCCTCCTCCTCCTCCTCCTCCTTCTTCTCAGGCCAGGCCTACTTATCTAGGGATGGTACTTCATACAGTGGGCTGGGCCCTCTTCAGTCAAGACAATCTTTCACAGACTTGGCCACAAGGCAGTCTGACAGTGCATTGACAGCTCTAGGCTGGATCACGAGTTGACAGCTAAAGCTAACTAAGGTAAGTGGAAGGAGATGGACACCGCTCCGGCTGGCACAAGGACGTTGGGATGACGCAGAGCAGGCAGGCGGCCCCAGCATCAGCCCGAAGCTGCTCCTCAAACCCTGTAGCAGGACAGCTGCGTGTGGGACAGCTCTGATTCTGTCACCACCCAGCAGCCTCCCTCCTCTGGGTCTCTGGCAGGACATAACTGGGGCAACTGCACTTTTAAGAGGTTCAGGGTTGGGAAATGGGTGAGGAGCAGGAGGTAGGGAGTGAGGTGGGGGAAGATTTAAGGAGACTAGAGTGAAAAGAAGAGACAATCTCATAGTTCAGGGAGGTTTGCATGTCATTGGCTATTGGCATTTATGGGAAAAGCCAAGTCCTTTGAGATCTTCACTGAATAGAGTGATGGTGAAATTAGTCTCCTGGGGCACTCACTGGCTCTCTCCCTGTGGTAAGCAATCTCTTGGCTGGTCAAGCCATTTCCTTCTTCCTCCCTCCCTCCCTCCCTCCCTCCCTCCCTCCCTCCCTCCCTCCCTCCCTCCCTCCCTCCGTCCCTCCTTTCCTTTCTTTCTTTCTAAGGAAGAAGGCAATGTTTTAATTTTTTAAACTTTTCTGTTAATTCATTTTTTACATTCCAATCCATTTCCCCCTCCCTCCTCTCCTTCCGCTTCTCCCATTCTCCCACCTCCACATCCCATCTGCTCCTCAGAGAGGGTAAGGCCTCCCCTAGGAAGTCTACTAAGTCTGTCCTATCATCTCATTGAGGCAGGACCAAGGCACCTCTCTACCCCCATACCCTGTGTCTAGGCTGGACAAGGTATCTCTCCATATAGAATGGGCTCCACTAAGTCAGTTTGTGCATTAGAGTTAGGCCTTGGACCCACTGCCAGTGGCCTCACATATTGTCCCAGTGTCACCATTGTCACCTATATTAAGGGACTCTAGTTTGGTCTTATGAAGGTTCCCCATTTGTCAGACTCCCCAGGAGTCAGTGATCTCTCACTGGCTCAGGTCAGCTGATTCTGTGGGTTTCCCCATCATGGTCTTGACTCCTTTGTTCATATTATCGCTCCTCCCTCACTTTGATTGTACTCCAGGAGCTTTGGCCAAGCCATTTCTAAGGTTGACTGTTGGCTCTGGGGAAGCTAAGTTCTGACAAGTGCACATGACTATCTTGCTATTCTCTTCTCATCCATCGTTTGTGGGGATCTACTCCTCTCAAGGTTGCCTCGATGGAACAATCCACCAGGCCTCATCAGAAGGCTAAGGATGGTCAGCATGAGTGTACTCGGTGACCAGGCTTCAGGTCTGGGATGTCCATTGCCAGCACAGCCTGGAAATTACGTGCTGACAGATGGCCGAGATCCAATGCTTTCCTGAGCATGTGACCAAACACCTTAATAAGAGTAATAGAAAATCGCCGGGCGTTGGTGGCGCACGCCTTTAATCCCAGCACTTGGGAGGCAGAGGCAGTCGGATCTCTGTGAGTTCGAGGCCAGCCTGGTCTACAAGAGCTAGTTCCAGGACAGCCTCCAAAGCCACAGAGAAACCCTGTCTCGAAAAACCAAAAAAAAAAAAAAAAGTAATAGAAAATCTCAGCCAATGTCCTGGGAGAGCAGCTGTGGTCAGAGAGAGCGGTGGGGTCAGGAGGGCTTAAGGAAAACCGAAAATCCCGAGGTGTTTTATACTTGAGAGGAATCCTCTGGCTACGGAAACAGAACCCTTCCTTCCTGCTGGTCTCACTGTGATTACAGAGCCTGGACTCAGTGGTTCTATGGCTGTCATTTAGGGTGTCGGCTTCATCTAGGTGTAATCCATGTGATAAAAGTCACCATTTTTAAACACAGAATTTGATGAATCTGGACAAATGTATGGAGTTGTATTTCCACCTATCTGTCATGACAGACTGTCTCTAGATGATTGCTAAGGTTCTCTGACCCTCTGGGGTCACCTCTCCCTCCAGATCCTCTCCCTGGTGACCTTTGTTCTGCTTCTACTACTCTGGTTGGAACTTTACTTATGCTTATTACTATTTTTTATGTGCATGGGTGTCTTGCCTGCATGTTCATCTGTGAATACCATGTGTGTCTGATGTTCTCAGATCCCAGAAAAGAAACTGGAATTACAGATGGTTGGGAGCTGTCACTTGGGTGCTGGGAATCAAACCTGGGTCCTTTGGATGAGCAGTCAGTACTCTTAACCACTGAGCCATCTCTCCAGACTCCCGGTTGTGCCTTTTAAACAGCTGCATGTAAAGAGAATCTGAAGTGTGTAGTCTTCTAGGTCCAGCCTTTAAACGTGGCGTGCTGCTTTGAAGAGTTATCTGTGCTGTGGTTCGTATCAATAGCTGGTTCTTCTACTGCTCCACAACTTGCTCATCTGTCTACTCATTGGTTGATAGATACCTGGTTGTCTCCTGTCCTGGATAAGCATGGATAAAGGTGTTAGAAACATTTGTCCCAGTGGGGCATTGGTGGTACAAACCTGTAGGAGGAAGTCTGATGCTGCCATTAAACATGTGACTTATTAGAGGCGCATACAGATGAGGTAATAAAAGGGCGGTTTACCACACCGCTAACCACACCCACTTTAGGCAGGACTAAAGACGTATATGGCTGGACGTAAAGACGTATACGTACGTAGGCGGAACTACGTCACTAGCCATGCCCCCGTTAGGGGGAAGGCATAAAAGACAGCACACAGGAAGTCTCGGTCTCTTTTCCTGGAGTTCGGCTTCCTGCTCGGCAGAGGAAACGGCTTGTATCGTCTGGGTTACTTGTTTGGTATCTTGTGAGTATTTCTACATTAAATACTTAGCTTTACTTTCAGTAATTGTGTGTCGCGTATCGTTACAGCGTCCGTTGAAGCCTACACAAACCTTTAATCCCAGCACTCGGGAGACAGAAGCAAGTGGATCTCTGTGAGTTTGAGGCCAGCCTGGTCTACAAAACTACACAGAGAAACCCTGTCTCAAAAAACCAAAAACCAAAACATTTATTATAGGCATCAATGAGACTATTAACTGTTTTCCAGGTTGTGTACTTGGGTGAGCATCTATCCATATAAATGCTGGGTCATGCAGAGGTTTCGCCTTCCAGAGAACAGTCAACTGTTTGCGACATTTCCAGGAGCATTTTGTACTCCGACTAGCAGTGCACAGAACTTCCGCTGCTCTTGTCCTTGCCTTGACAGTCCTTGCTGTCATCAGTCATTTGCATTTTAACCAGGCTTATGGCCTTATAGGGGCATCTCTTTTTAATTTAATTTGTATTTGCCTAATGACCAATAATTGTTTTGAAGGAGTGTTGAGAGGATTGAGTCCAGGGCCTTAAAGATTCTAGACAAATAGTCTACCACTGAGCTGCATCCCCAGCTGACTAATGCTTTTATGTTGGTACATTTACTTTTTATTTATTTATTTTTTACAGAATCTTCTTATGTAGCCCAGCTTGGCTTGAGCCTGGCAGCCTCCTTGGCTTCTTAAATGCTGGGATTCCACACATGCATCATAAGCCTATGTAAAATCTTCTTGGATGAAGGGTCTTTTCAGGTCATTGAAGTTGTTTCTTTTTCTTTTCTTTTCTTGTTTTTTTTTTTTGAGACAGGGTTTCTCTGTGGCTTTGGAGGCTGTCCTGGAACTAGCTCTTGTAGACCAGGCTGGTCTCGAACTCACAGAGATCCGCCTGCTTCTGCCTTCTGAGTGCTGGGATTAAAGGTGTGTGCCACCACCGCCCAGCTTGTTTCTTGGTTTTGACTTGTGAATTTTTGCGATGTTCTGCATTCTCTCTTCTCATTAGCATTTAACAGTTCTCCATTATCTGCCTTTTCTGTAGTTGTCCTCCTTCCTGCCTCATTTTATCCAAAGCACACTTGCAAGTTGATGCTTGACTTCCTCTAGCTGCCTTACCTCAGGGGCGGACAAGCCTGGACTGAGGGGAGGATTCACTTCAGTCGGCCCTTCCACAAGTGTGTGTGTGTGTGTGTGTGTGTGTGTGTGTGTGTGTGTGTCCTTATATTCATGACCTAAAATGACTTTTCTGATTTAGCCTTCCAAGCAGCTGGAGCTATAAGCACACAGCACCGTGTCCCACTTTCTCTACATTAAGTTTTGATAGTTAAATTGGAATTGATTATGTCTTAATTTAAGAGAGAGTTTCACAAGTGTTTTAAACCGTTAAATCACAAGCTACTCAGTGAGTTAGATGTTTGCTCCCAACAGCACGATTCTAAAAGGCTGTGAGGATGACCTGAGGGGATTCCTGCAGGACTGGGAAGTTATGTTACGTCACCTCTGGGCCCTTTCCACCGAGGGCCTATGACTTCATGACCTTGACTCTTCTGGAACCACTTCTCCGTTTTTTGGACTCCCATGACCGAACCCCTGTCCCTGTTGCCCCATTTTTCTGTAGAAGTTTCAACATGAAGCCAGGTCTGGGAGTGTCCCGAACATTCGGCTTGTCCTTACTGAGGGCAATCTACCTGCTGCGTGCCATGTAGCGGCTACGCCTTGCAGAACCATGCATGGCTCCTTGTCAGGCTCATCCTACCACCTCTGTCCCTTTCCTCACAGCTTTGTCTTCGGGAGGGACGGAGGGTGTGGGGCTGCTTCCTACATACTGTTTCTTTCCTTCCCCCTCCACTGAATCCTTCCAGGAGTTGTGCTGTGGTTCTTACAATCACCCCCCCCCCCTGCACGCTCCCAAACAAAGTAGCAGGTTTTCTTGTGCATTTTCACACATGCTTTGTTTGGTTCTCTCTCCTCCTTCCTCTCCCCCATCTCCCTGGCCCCATTCCAGCTGAACTCATAACCCCCCCTTCGCACTCCCACACCACAGTGTTCTCTTGCCCTTCTGGTCCCTGAAGCCCTTTATCCACCTCACAGAGCTATTTCCACTCTCCTAGAATCTACCCACTTTACTCTCACGCAAGTCCACGTGGACACGGTTAGCGGCTAGGACCCACAAATGAGAGAGAACAGGTGGCAGCTGTCTTTCTGAGCTGGGCCACCCACTTAATGTATGTTCCGATTCTATCCATCTCTCCCTGCAAATTTCAGTATTTCATTTCTCACTACAGCGGTAACATTCCATTGCACTCATCTACCATGTTTTTTATTATCTGGACACCAATTGATGGACATCTAGGCTGACTGCATTTCGTTGCGCCTGTGAATTGAGCTGCAATGCCCATGGGTGAGCAGGCATCCCTGTAGTGTGATGCAGAGGCCTCTGGGCATTTGTTTAGGGATGTCATAGCTGGTCACACAGTAGTTCTAATGTTAGCTTTCTGTGGCACCTCCACACCGATTTCCAGTTGGCACGCCGACCAGCAGGGAATGAAGGTTCCTCTTCACCCTACATCATTGCCAGTGTTTGCTGCTTTCTGGTTGATGGTGTTTGTCTCCATCCGTGATGGCCAGGTGGCCACATTCTTGAGTCACCTCTGGGGCCTGGAGTCATGTAAGTGCTTTTGGCTTCTGAGTAAGCACCTCAGGGGTCACGACTGCAACCACTGAAAAATTCACAGGATGCTCAGGTGGAGAAAACTGAGAGAACACGTTATTGGCTTACCTGAAGTGGGGGTAGGTGGGAGCGGGAAGAGGGCAGGGTGGGGGTGTGGAGGAGACTTGCTGTCTCTTCTTTTAATTGTTGGATCTGGCCAAGTGCTCATGGTTAGCGAATGGAAAATGGTAAGACAGGCAGAGTATCATGAACATCCCTGGCTTTTGCTTTCAGGTCAGGAGAACACGAGGCTGAGGACAGAGAGCAACCGTCTTCACCTCTCTCTCACATATGGGGGAAACTAAGAAAAGTCAGGTTACTTTTAAAAGTGTGAGTCATCCATCATGCTGAGAGGGGAAGTCTGAGACAGACTGAGGGAAATGTCATCGCGGTGGATGACGGAGGCATGTGTCTCAGCGTGGTAATAGCTAACATTAGTAACAGCAGGAGTGAGAGAAGCTACTAATAAAGCAAGGGCTCAGAGATCGGTCACCTTTAAGCTTCAAAACAGAAAGATTTCCTTCCCGATGGTACCAAAGTGAAAACAAAGTGTTGCGAAACAAATAAGTATCAAATAGGAGTAGGAGAACCAGCACAGAATACCCATGGCTGTGGTGAAGAACGGAAAGGCCCTCCACATCCAGGAGCCCTGAAGATGACTTATTCTCCAAAACTTGCTGTCGAAAGTACCTCAGTCCTCCGCAAATTGCCAGTTCAATGCAGTTACAAACAAATGCCAAAGGGCATCTTTGTTTTGGAAAGCATGCAAGGTGTCACTAGAGACTGTACCTGGAAGATGGCCAGGGAGGTGTGTGCATCTGTGGTTAGCTCCTACTAGATTTGTTTTAAAAGTTCTAATGCAAGGAGAGTCACTATTTTGTTTTGTTTTTGAGATAGGCTTTCATGTCTCCCAGGCTAGCCTCAAACTCCCTGTGTAGCCAATGTTGACCTTGAATGGATCTCTTTACCCCTACCTTCCAAGGGCTGGAATTATAGGTATACAACAAGCATTTCCAACCATCTATCTATCTATCTATCTATCTATCTATCTATCTATCTATCTATCTAATTCTGAGATGAGGCCTCAAAAGTCAGTATGTATCCCAGGATAGACCTGAACTCCAGAGGTTGCTTCTGTTTCAGCTCAAACACGTAGAATGATGGCATGGCCACCATGACCAGCTTGGTGAGGCTGGTCATCTGGGTCTGGCTCTTCCGGTTCTAACAGGCACACAGATCTATGTAACCTGTGGGTGACATGTCAAGATGATCAGCCATACCCCTGGCTTTCTTTAGCTGTCCCTTGGTAACTTGAGTCCCTTCTGCCATCTACCGCCTTCCCATCTCACAAATATCAGAGGAAAGACCCCAACAGAAGGAGTCTTTTGGGATTTAATGTGTTCCTTGTTTATCCATGTTGATGTGTCAGTGGTCTGTTCCTTTTTATCACTAAGTAGTGCTCCAATGTAAACAAAAATACCACTTTCTTTTTACCTATTGAGTAGCATTGGGTTGTTTCAACTTTCGGTAGTCAGTGGTAAAGCTTTGTGCACAGGTTTTGGGGTGCACCTATGTCTTCAGATCTCTCAGTCAAGGGAGACCTCCTTGCCTTAGTGTTGAACATAGGGCAAAGGCATTCGGCCTTTTAACACTGAGCTGCAGGTTTTGGGTAAATATCATTTTCTTGTTAAGTTTCTTTATGGGGTTCTTTGTGGCAGCAGTATAAGAAGATGGCAAGCAGCTCAGCTGTTCATGGCGAGGGATCTGCACTGGATTTTGGGTTGGAGGCTCTCACCCCAAGCTGGAAAAGCTGGGAAGTCCCCACAGGGACCACAATCATGGCTGTGCAACATGATGGGGGCATGGTTCTAGAGCAGACTCCGGAACAACCACTAGATCCTACATCGCCAGTTGAGTGACTGGCAAGCTGACTCCTATCCATGACTTCATCTTAGGTTGCCACTTGGGTATCAGCTATATCCAAGCACAAATGATGCTGTCATTGACCAGCTTGGTTTCCACAGTATTGAACTGAATGAACCTCCACGAGGACACACAGCCGCCAGTCTTTTTAGGAAGATGTGTTACCAATACGGGAAGATCTGATGGCAGGAATCATCATTGCATACTGGGACCCTCAAGAAGGAGGGCAGATGTACTCAGTTCCCAAAGAGGGTTGATTGATGGTGTTTTGCCATTGGAGGCTATGGGAGCTCGTATGTCCATGGCTATGTTGATGCTACCTATCGGGAAGGTATGACCAAGGACAAATGTCTGCAATTCAATGCCAGTGCTCTCACTTTGGCTATGGAATAAGACAGTTCCAGTGGACGGGTGGTCTGCTTGGCAACCATTCAAGAATCAGGGGTAGAGTGGCAGGTACTTTTGGGAGACCAGATACCCAAATTCACCACTTTACCACCTCCCTGAATCCTGGTTTTCTGGGATGTAATAAAGGATATACTGACGTAAATGTTAATAAACAGTTTGTTAAAGAAAAAAAAGAAGTCTCCTTATGGGGCTGGAAAGATGACTCAGTGGTTAAGAGCACTGGGTGCTCTTCCAGAGGACAGGAGTTTAATTCCCAGCACCCACATGGCAGTCCATACCTGCCTATAATTCCAGTTCCAGGGGACCCAACACCCTCACACATACATGCAGGCAAAACACCAATACATATAAGAATAAACAAGATGGGGCTGGAGAGATGGCTCAGTGGTTAAGAGCACTGACTGTTCTTCCAGAGGTCCTGAGCTCTATTCCTGGCAACCAGGAAGATCTCACAACCACCTTGAGTGAGATCTGGTGCCCTCCACTGACATGCAGGCAGAAGACTGCACACAAAGCTAATAAATAAATAAATAAGAGATAAAAAAATGAACAAGATGAATCCCCTATGTCTCCATTTTGCTGAGACTGTATTTACAATGATAGGTGGTTGTTAGATTTAGTTCAATGTTGTTTTCTGCATCTGTGGAAACAATGTGTGTTTCCCTCTCTCGTCTCTCTTAAATTCCTTTCTTACCTTTGGGTTTTGAGACAAGTTTCTCTATGTATCCTAGGCTAGCATTGACTCTATAATCATCCTATCTTAGTCTCTCTCTCTCTCTCTCTCTCTCTCTCTCTCTCTCTCTCTCTCTCTCTCTCTCTCTCTCTGTCTCTCTCTCTCTCTCTCGCCTCTCTCTGTGTCTCTGTCTTTGTCTCTGTCTCTCTCTCTCTCTCTCTCTCTCTCCTGAGTTTTATTCTTAGCCTAGGCTGTCTTAGAACTTACTATGTAGCCTGAGCCAGCCTCAAACCCATGGTAACCCTTCTGTCTTAGCCTCCGGGATTCCAGAACTGAATGCCCACAGATGACTTTCGTTTCCGTGCATACACACTCACACGTATGTGCACATGAGTATGGAGGTCAGAGGTTGGCATCAGGAGTCGTTAGTTACTCACCTTTTGTTTGGGACGCAGTCTCACCATGTATTCCTTGCTGTCCTGGAACTCGCTCTGTAGTCCAGGCTGACCTCAAACTCCCAGAGATCCCCCAGCCTCTGCCTCCTGAGTGCTGGGGTTAAAGGTGTGCGCCACCACTCCTGTCTCTACCTTTATTTTTTGAGACAGTATCTCTCACTGAGCCTGGAGCTCACTGACTTGGTGAGACTGGCTGGCCAGTGCGTCCCTGGGATCCCCCTGCCTCCTAAGCACTGGGATCATCATGCTGTAGCCTCCCACCAGGGAGCTGGAGAAAGAATTCAGGTCTTCAGGCTCCATCTGCCAAGCCCTGCTTCTATTTTTTTTTTTGAAACAGGGTCACATAGGCCGGGTTGGCCTCAAACTCTCTGTGTAGCTGAGGATGTCCTTGAATGCCTGTTCCTCTACCTTCTTCAGAGCTGGGATTGCAGGCATGAGCCACCACCTGGCTGAAGAGTTTCTAATTTAACTCAATCGATCCTCCCAGTACTCAGTGCTACCTGGTATCACCCTGCGGTTGACTCTGAGCTGCTATTGCCTCTAGTATTTTGAGGACTTTTATGTCTATGCTCATGAGTCTTGTGGTGGTATGAAATGTTTCCTGAAGGCTCATGTGCTGAAGGTTTGGTTTCCAGCTAGGAGTGTCGTCAAGTGTGACTGGATCATGAGGACATCAGCTTCATTAATGGATTAACCCACTGGTGAATTCATAGCTCGATGGTGGCCTAGAAGGTGGGGCCTAATTGGAGGGAGTGGGTCAGTGGAGGCATGTCTTTAAAGGGAGTGTCCTGGCCTGGCTTCCTGGTGGCTATGTGATGGGCAGCTTCTCATACCACACCCATGATCCATGACTTCTGACCCCACCACAAGCAGAATATGTAGCTAAGTGGCCTTAGGCTGAAACCTCTGGCACCATGAACAGACTCAAATCTTTCTCTAAGCTGTCTGTCTCAGGCATTACGTCACAGTGGCAGAAATCTGAACCACACAGTAAGGTCTCTAGAGTGGTCTGCCATGCATATACTGGCTTGGAACTTGGAACATGCTCGCTGTTCTTTTCTTTCCTTCTTTTTTCCAAGACAGAGTTCCTCTGTATTGTTTTGGAGGCTGTCCTGGAACTCCTCTGTAGACCAGGCTGGCCTTGAACTCACAGAGATCTGCCTGCCTCTGCATCCCAAGTGCTGGGACTAAAGGTGTGCACCACCAACTGCTGGCTTTTCTTGGAAGAGATTATGAAGGATTAATTTGTTCTTCTATTGTTTGGTAGAATTTTCAAATAAAACACATTTGGGCCTGAGGTTTCCTTTTTATTTTTTAAAAATTAAAAAAAATGTGTGTGTGTGTGTACACATGTATGTGCAATGCCCACCAAGGCCAGAGAGGGTGTCAGATCCCCTGGAGCTGGAGTTATAGTGGTGAGCTGACATATGGGTGCTGGGAATCTGACCTAGGCCCCTGGAGTAGCAGCACCCAATGCTCTTAAACACTGAGCCACCTCTCTAGGCCTCGGGATTTCCTTTCCAGAGGATTTCAAAAAGAAAATTGGATGTATTGGGTTCCTTTAATAGAAAGAAGACTGCTTAAGTCATCTGCTTCATCCTGAGTTGTGTATAGAAATAAATCAATTTCCAGCCAGGCCTACTCAAAGAAATTCTGTCTTGAAAAACAAAACAACAACAAAAGAAATAACACAGTTTCATCTAAATTGGTAAGTGCACGGTAGAATTGTTGGTAACATTCCTGACTACTGTCTCTGGGGCATTTATGACAGCTTTCATTTTGGTGATTTCTGACCTATTTCTTTTCTTTTCCCTCAATCTGGTCATTATTAAAGTTTTCTTTTTTTTTTTTTCTTTTGAGACAGGTTCTCTCGATGTCCTCCTCCTGGCTGATCTGAAAGTCACCCTGTAGACCTGGCCTCATCCACGTGCTTCTGCCTCTGAAGTGCTGGAATTAAAGGCGTGCGCTGCACTCGAGGTTTGATACATTGTAAGGAATGGGCTCTTGGGGCCTGGAGATGTGGCTCCGCATAGCCCCTTTCTAACACACACAGCACCCTGGGTTTAGTCTCAGGCAGCACAAACAGAAAACAAACAGCTTTCCTTTTGGTGTCATGTCTTTTCTGTTTCCTGTTTTGTCTATTTATGTTTAATCCCCCTTACTTTGCTTCCATTGGGTTTGGTTTGCACTTTTTTCTAGTTTCTGAAGGGGTAAGTTTAGGCGTTTATTTGAAAACGGTTTCCTTTCCTGACACAAACCTTTGATGCTGTCAACTTCCCTGTCAGTGCTGGCTTCTCTGAGGCCCACACATTTTGATAAGTTGTGTTTTCATTTTCATTCCATTCAAAACATTTTATAGTTTCTCTTGTGACTGACTTTTTGGCTCAGGGATTATTTAGAAGTATGTTGCTTAATTTCCAAATATTTAGGGGATTTTCTAAATATCCTTTTGTCATTGATTCTAACTTAACCCCATAAATTATGCTTAGAGGACATACATTACATAATTTCAGTATTTATTTGAGATGGGACCCATGCAGCATAAGCTAGCCTCAACTTTATTATGTAGCTGGAGATGACCTTGAACCCTTGATGCTCTTGCATCTACCTCCAGACAGATGGGGTCCCAGGACTGCAGTTACTTTCAAATGTGTTAAAACTTAATCATGTGACTCAAGATAAAGTCTGTCTCGAGAAAATCCATATAAATTTGACAAGGAATTGCCTTTGTTGGGTGGAACACTCTCCAAATGTTGCCTGGGTCAACTTGCTAGTGCTGTTTAGTCTTCAGTTGTTCTGCTGTGAATGTGCATGACCTCCACAGGCTCATATGTCCGGATACTTGGTGCCCAGTCTTTGGAACTGTTTATGAAGGACTAAGAAGTGTGGCCTTGTTGGAGGAGGTGTGTCACCAGGGGTGGGATTTGAGGTTTCAAGAGCCTTTGACCATTCCCAAAGTGCTCTCTGCCTCATTTGTGACTGAGAAGGGAACTCCTAGCTGCCCTGTCTTTGACTCTAACCCCCTGGAACCCAACTCCAATCAAATGCTTTCTCTATTAAGTTGCCTTGGTCATGGTGTCTTATCACAGCAACAGAAGAGCAGCTAAGATGTCAACGGTTTCTTGTGTGTTTCTTTTATCAGTTAAGGAGCAAGAAGCAGTGAACTCTCTAAGCATAGCTGTAGAGTTTGCCTGCCTCCCTCCCTCCGACTGCACATGTATTCTGAAGCACTGCTGTGAGGCGCGTACATGTTTATGGTCACAGCTTCCTAATGAGCTTACCCTGAATCATCACACTTCAGTTCCTTTGTCCTCAGCTGTTTTCTTTGTCTCGAAGTTCGCTTAGCTGGACTTACTGCAGCCGCTCTAGCATTCTTTTTAACAATCAATTCACATTCATGTTTAAAGGTGTGATTGTATGTTTTCCTGGTATAGTCACAGATCGTGAAAACGTCACCCTGCTCAGTCCTGTCATAGTTGGCTTCTAAATTAAATGTCTTTCGTGCGTCCTCACATGGGTGGAAGAAGCGCCAGTGTCCCACCAGCCTCTTTCACAGGGCTCTGGTCACAGGGTGGTGTTCTCAATGACCTAATCACATCCCAAAGGCCCCACATCTACATGACTTCACCTTGGGGCTCAGCTTCAGCCATCTTGTCAAATCTTGGAGAAGCATAGATGTTCAGAGCACAGCTGTGCTCTGCCAGGCAGGGCAAGTACACATGGTGACACAGACAGCAGGCACACTCGGTGACACAGACTCCAGAGATTGATTGCAGGAAGCACCTGGATGCTCTTGTGAAGTCACATGACAAGGATGATCGGAATGCTGTTTATTGTAGGGAAAACCAGAAAGAACTACATTGTCTGATATTAGGGGACTTGTTAAAGAATTATGGTTTATTTACACAACAGGACAGTAAGCAGTCTCTGGGACAGTTATGTACATAGAATAGAGCATGGTCATTCGCTGTACCAAGCTACAGGCAAATGTAATCTGATTTTCCTAATGTAATAAATTTTAGTATCTCTATCATTTATCTACCATCACTTATCTACTTATCATCTATTATCATCTCTCCTCCTCTCTTTCCCACTCTCTCTCTCTCTCTCTCATTTTTTCTCTCACCCTCCCTTTCTCCCTCATCACTCAGTCTACTCTGTGTATATCCATCAGCATAGCAAGGGGTTTGGTAAACCATTATCAGTGGATTTATATTGGACAGTTGACTTTCTAGAAAAATATTCTTTGCTTCCACATGTCTGTATATGTCAGAGACATTTCCTACATTAATATTTTATTTTTATAAAAAGACCAAGCCGGGTGGTGGTGGCACATGCCTTTAATCCCAGCATTGGGGAGGCAGAGGCAGGCGGATCCTTGTGAGTTCAAGAGTTAGTGTAGTCTATAAGAGTTAGTTCCAGGACAGTCTCCAAAGCCACAGAGAAACCCTGTCTCGGAAAACAAAACAAAACAAAACAAAAAAAAGTAAGACCAATTTTACTAGGGAGCGGCTCTAAAATAAATGAGTGGTGAGGAGTAGGGGACAGTGGGGAGGAGCAGGGGACAGTGGGGAGTGTGCAGGGGACAGTGGGGAGTGAGCAGGGGACAGTGAGGAGGTGCAGGGGGCAGTGGGGAGGAGCAGGGGGCAGTGGGGAGGAGCAGGGGGCAGTGGGGAGGAGCAGGGGGCAGTGGGGAGGAGCAGGGGGCAGTGGGGAGGAGCAGGGGACAGTGGGAAGGAGCAGGGGACAGTGGGAAGGAGCAGGGGGCAGTGGGGAGGAGCAGGGGGCAGTGGGGAGGAGCAGGGGACAGTGGGGAGGAGCAGGGGACAGTGGGGAGGAGCAGGGAACAGTGGGAAGGAGCAGGGGGCAGTGGGGAGTGTGCAGGGGGCAGTGGGGAGTGTGCAGGGCCGTGTGGGACCTGACCTTGCTGTTCTCTCGGTCTCTGAGCTTTTTTTTTTTTAATTTTTTTTTTTTTTTGGCTTTTCGAGACAGGGTTTCTCTGTGGCTTGGAGTCTGTCCTGGAACTCACTTTGTAGGACCAGGCTGGCCTCGAACTCGCAGAGATCCACCTGCCTCTGCCTCCCAAGTGCTGGGATTAAAGGCGTGCGCCACCAACGCCCGGCTCGGTCTCTGAGCTTTTGACAGATGGTGCTGTCCTTCCATCCTCTAACAGAGAGGAAATACTTTTACATCTAAATGTGTCGACTTTTTTTTCACAAGTTCCAGGAAATAGTAGTTTTGCTTTCCTGTCCTGCGGTCCCTGGTGGCTGCTGACTCAGTGTTTCAGGACTGGAGGGTTCTTTTCTGTGATGTTAATGTCTGCCATTTAAACTTCACTGAGGATCTGTTCCCTTCTGTCGCTGAAGTACTTTCCGTTTTCTGGCAATGCAGACCTAACGTAGCTGTGTGATCTTAGCCATTTTCAGTTCAGTTCTGTGGCATTCACTCCACATGCTCACATTGCTGCGCCAGTGCTACCTCGTGTCTCCAGGACCCTTCGTTATACTTAACTGAAACTGCCCCCATTAAATAATACCACCCCCAGTCCTCACAGCCCTCACTGCCCTCCCAGCACCCCCCTCCAGCCCCCAGCCCTCACAGCCCCTGCTCTCTTATTTTCATGAATTCACCTGTTTCCAGTACTCGAGTCATTGCAATGGGGGTAGTATTCAGTTTTCCTTTTCCAAACAAGGTCTTGTAGCCCAGGCTGGTCTAACTCCCTGAGTAGACAATGACGACTTAGACTCTGAACACCCCTGTCCCCAGCTGGACTGTGCTGGGGTTAGAGGCATGCAAACCCAGGACACTGTGCGTGCTGGGCAGGCACCCCATCAACTGCATCGCACCCCAGCCAGCTGGACTGTGCTGGGGTTAGAGACATGCAAACCCAGGACACTGTGCGTGCTGGGCAGGCACCCCATCAACTGCATCGCACCCCAGCCAGCTGGACTGTGCTGGGGTTAGAGGCATGCAAACCCAGGACACTGTGCGTGCTGGGCAGGCACCCCATCAACTGCATCGCACCCCAGCCAGCTGGACTGTGCTGGGGTTAGAGGCATGCAAACCCAGGACACTGTGCGTGCTGGGCAGGCACCCCATCAACTGCATCGCACCCCAGCCAGCCGGGATTTGCTCTTCTGCTTGACTTATGTCATGTGGCATAATGTGCTCCTAGAATAAGTGACCCACAGTCACCCTTGCTCGTGTGACTCAGAGGAAGCCCATCTCACCGGTCATGCTCACCCTGGCCTGGGATCAGCTCCCTGCTGGAGTGCCCGTCCAAGTCAGCATCTTTGAAGCAAGAGTTTTGAGAAGCAATGAAGAGAAGCCACACGGTACTACTCAAGGCAAATAGAGTGGGTTGAAAAGCATGAGGCTGGACACACCCTGCCAGTGCACCCCGGCCTCTGGACCTGTACCCCAGGAACCACTCAAGGAGGCATGCCCAGCAGGTCATCGTGCCCTGGTGACTCACCTGGCAAGTGACAGGTTTGTTAAGGGTAAATGTGACACCTTAATCATATGACAAATGGAGGAATGTTTTTCTCAGAAACAGTGTAATCAGGTATGGCAGCATGCTGGCAGTCTTGATGCTTGGCTGGTAAAGGATGGGCCAGCCTGGTCTACAGTCAAAGTCTTGTCTCAGAAAAGCAAACAAGGAAAAACAAAGGCAAGGAACATGCATGTAGCTCAGAGTGGCACATTGGACATGTGTGAACTCAGCTGCTTGGGGACAGTGACCAGGAAGGCTGTGTCACATTTGTGACAAGCCACTTCCTGAGAAGTCATGGCCTCCTCAATGTCTCCTAGTGCTGAGGATGTGCTGTGTCTTTCAGGGTAGGGATTGTCATCCTGCTGCCTTTCTTTGAAGCCACACTGGCTGAAGGCCCCCTGTGCCCACGAGGGTCTGACTTTACCAAGGTCTTGTTTGAGGTATTTGTAGGGATGCTGGGAAGCTCAGGTAAAGACACCCTGCATGCTTTCAGCTTATCATCTGGTCATGTGTGGGGGCTTACACAACGATGTTCACCCAACCCAACACCATCGCTGTCATAACATTTCTTTGGATAGCACAGAGGAGCCTCTTAGTACAATTGTACTCCAGGGAGAGGGCAGAATCCCACCCTCTCTCTCCAAACTGTCACTCGGTGGAAAGGCCTGGTTCCCTGATGGAAAGGGGTGGGGTAAGATGCAGCAGGGATGAAGGTTTCACTGTGTGCTGGATTAGGTCCCCTTCGCCAGCACTTCCGTCTCATCCTTTAACCACTGGTTCTGCTGACAGTGGACACCGAGTGGGCAGTGCTCTGCTGTTCCTGGGGCAGGACTCCCAGGCATCCAAGGACCCAGGGCTGGACTCTGAGACCCTGGTGTCTGGCCCCAGACCTGCCTTTCTGTTTCTGGGTGACTGTGTGGTCTCCATTTTCTCACCTTCAGTACGTGGCAGTGTCTACTCCACAGGGTGGCTGCCCAGATTAGTGAGCTGACTAATATCTACACAGCTCTCCAGAAATACACATTTCCCAAAAGCCATTGTTAAAAAGAGAAAACCAAAGGGTAAAACCCACGTTAGTACCAGAGCACCGCCCAGTCTCTACTATTATTAACGTAAAGTTGTTAGCCAGCCAGTTTACACCCTGGAGAGGTTGTCTGAAGGTTCCAGTAGAGGAGCACAGCTGCCTGCTTGCCCCTTGATGGAAGATCTGTCCTCGTCTCTCAGGGAAAGTCTTCCTTCTCCACCATGCACACAGCTTCAGGAGAGACACACATGGAGCCACCTCGACGGAGGAAGCGGGTACCCTCCTAATGAGCCAGATCAGTAGCATCAACCCTGGCAGTCAGTATGGTGACACACCTCCCAGTCGGACAGTCCTCACACCCCTGTTCTAGTCCACTGTGCTGGGACCAGCTGTGCTGCCCCATCTGGCTGGAGGCTGCCATATTGGCAGGGCAGGAAGACTTTGTGCCCAGGAAGGAAGCTTAGGTCAGGAGGCCTTTTTGCTTCCTGATTACTTCCTGTTGTGCATTTGTCATCCTTGTCTTACTTGGTCATGTGTGTGTGTGTGTGTGTGTGTGTGTGTGTGTGTGTGTGTGTGTGTGTGTGTGTCCCTGTGCAGGTGTTTGAACATAGAGGCCAAGACTGATGTTGGTGTTTCCCTTAATCATGCTGTAGAGTCATGTCTCTGGGGTGGGCCCCCACATGTCAGATCTGGCAGGATGCACCTCCCTGAAAGCCTTTCTCTGCATTAAGTGACATTGGCTTGAGAATGGTGAGGGATGAGAGAAACTTATGGACTTGCTAGAAGATTCCTAATCTTTGCTGTCAAAAATGGGCATTGTCTCATACTTTTGTCTGTCTTTTCATATGTGTCTCTGTGTGTGCACATGTGCACGTGTGTATGTACGTGTGTCTGTACCTGTACATGTGCAACACAGAGGCCCGAGACTGATGTTGGTGTTTCCCTTGATAACTCTGCACCCTATATAGAGAGGCAAGGTCTCTTGACCGAAACCCCAAATCTCCAATACGGCTAGTCTTGCTTGCCAGCTCGCTCAGGCATGCTACTCTCTTTCTCTTGAGTACTGGAATTACGGGCTACCTGTGCCCATATGGCACTTACGTGGGTCTGGAGATCTGAACTCTGGTCCTCACACTTGTAGCATTTTGTCTCCTGATGCTTCTCCACACCTCCATACTTGCAAACAGAAAACTGCAAATAGAAAGGTGATCAATCCCTGCCCCTCACCCCAAGCATCAGGATTACATGACAGCAAGGATGACAGGCGCCTATCTGACTCCCAGGGATTGTATCTCAGTCAAACCCCTGGCAGGACTGATTTGACATCTGTCTTAGTGACTTTCCTGTTGCTATTATAAAACACCCCAACAAAAGTATCTTAAGGGAGAAGTGGTTTAGCCGGGCGGTGGTGGCGCACGCCTTTAACCCCAGCACTCGGGAGGCAGAGGCAGGTGGATCTCTGTGAGTTTCGAGGCTCTGGTCTACAGAACGAGTTCCAGGACAGCCTCCAAAGCCACAGAGAAACCCTGTCTCGAAAAACCAAAAAAAAAAAAAAAAAAGGAGAAGTGGTTTATTTAGCTCACAGTTCAAGGTGCAGTCCATCACGGCAGGGGCCAAGGTGAAGCAGTTGTTCTTGTTGCATCCATAGTCAGAAAGCAGAGGACAATGATTGCATGCTGCTCCTTAGCTTGCTCTCTCTAGTTTTGGGTTCCGGACCCTGGTCAGGAAAATCCCCGCCCACAGGAGGACAGTTTTCCCGCTTCAATTGATGCAACCAAGACAATGCCCACAAAGCCAGGCATGGTGGTGCCAACCTTAATCCCATCATTCAGGAGACAGAGGCAAACTGATCTCCGAGCTCTAGGCTAGTCTGGTTTTCATAGAAAGTTTCAGGATAGCTAGGTCGCTATAGAGAGACCCTGTCTCAATAAAACAAAAGACCCCCCAAATAAAACCCATGACCCCCACAAACATGCCTAGAGGCAGCTTCCAGGTAATCCTAGATGCTGTTAAGCTGCTATCGCCAATCACCACATGACCTCTCTTAGCTCTCTTAGCGACAGGTCCCTTACACAAGGTTGCTTTGGTGGGAGGAAAATCCCTTGCTGCTGGGGATGATGTCTCAAAGCTCCTCTGGGTGGTTTTGTGTGAACCACTCTCAAGCCTGACATCCCTGCCTCCACACTCACCACGTCTCCTGAGACACTGGAAGCCACTGCTGGGTCACAGCAGACAGGGACTTTGTCGCCTCCAAACCACTTTCACCCATATGCCTGATGCTGTCAGAGGTGCTGGTCCCTCAGCTGGCACAGTCCACCTCTCTCTCATCTCAGGCCTCGGCTTCCGGCCGCCTCCTCAGAGCTGCGGCCACCTGCCTATCCCAGAGGCCTGGCGTGCGCTTTTCTCCTTTTCCCTCTTTTGCTGATAGTGTCTGCGGAGTGGGGATACAGTGACCTCAGTGTTTTTCGATGACATAATCCTTAAATTTCTTCAAGTAAAAACCAGAATAGAGAAGTGGGAAGCCTTGGGTGAAGTTCTGTGTAGTTCGGTAGCTTTGGAGATGGGAAAGCAAGATTCGATTTCAGTTTGACATGCCATCATAATTTTTTCTCTCTCTGTTTTTCTGAGACAGGGTCTCATGCAGCCTAGGTTGGCCTTAGACTTCCTATGTGACCGAGGATAACCTTGAACTCCTGGCCCTATTGCATCTTCCTCCTAAGTGCTGGGATTCCAGGCATGTGTCTTACTGGCTCAATTTTAGTTTTTGAAGTGACACAGTCACCAAAAATTAACCACAATCCTGCATGCTTTTCATCGAAGAACCACAACTGCTAGTTAGAACTCACCCTGAATGACAGTCCACCTGCCACGGCATTTCCCCATCTGGAGGGCACGGCTCAGTGCCTCTCATGTAGTCATAAGGCTGACCCACATGACACCCGGAAAGCTTGGCTGTGGTGGAGACTGAGTTTTCAGGTTTTTTTTTTTCTATGTAGAATTTGTGTAGTGTTTATTGTTACAGTAAGATTGAAGCCATATAGAATTGGGGGTGTGAGAGGGAGTATTTTCTGCACTGGGGAGCTGTCCTGTGGGTGAGGATTCTGGGTGAGGCACTGCCTGATGCCATGGGCCAGGCAGAGAACTGCTTCTTTGGAAACTCCCAGGGCTGCAGTCAGGGAGAGAAACTGCCACAGGAAATTTTTCTGAATGGTATGATGCATTCATTTGTCCTATCAGCAGGCAGGGAAGACAAGCCTCGGAGAGGATTCCATGCCTTGATGTTGGTGAGGGACGCTTGCCTCTGTGACTCCCCTGATGGTTCTCATGTTCATTTGCTCTTGTGGCCTTTCTTAAAGGTCCTTCAACATTGCCCACGTGTACCCCCGAAATGGTCCTCAAGGACACCTCATTTATGTCTTCCAATTTCTGCCCCAACAGCATGCTGGAACTCAGCCTGGTGGCCAGTAGGATTCCTAAAGGGAGGCAGTAGCACAGTCAGATAATCCACAGGTCAGGCCCCCTTCAGAGTCTTCAGAGAGGAGTGGCTTCTGCTTCTCCTTCTTGGTACGCAGGCCCTCAGCCCATGGAATGCTGCTGCCCAGATCACCCTCTTTGCATCTAGAACTACAGCCCATGGGATGGTGCTCCCACATTCAGGCAGGTCTTCCCTGTTCAGGTAACCCAGTCTGATAAACCCGCCATGCGACCCCCGGGAAGGGACCCCCGACCCGCGGGGGTGAGGTGATGAGGGTCGCTACTAATTTAGTGGGCCTTCACGAGCAGATCCGATCTGGAAAGTGAACTTCAAGAGGTTAATGGAAACAGGCTCAAGACAACGTTCGCTGATCAAGAGCCTTTATTTTTTGGGGCGCGCTGGAATTTATAGAGGAAGGACCTCAGGGGGTGGTACAAGCATGTCAATCAAGTCTCAATTCAAATATACACCAAATACGGTAAAGACAAAGCTGTAATTTTCCATCAGTCATTAGTTACATTCCACAAATGCTTGTCAGTGTAAGTCAGGTGCAGGAATTAGGGAGGGGTAGGAAGTATACAACAGAACACTTTAACCTTTTGTTAACAAAGACAATTACTCTGTAAGGGTACTTCCCTCTGGCTAGGCGGGTGGGCTGCCCTGTGTAAATTTAACTTTAATGGTTAGCCTTTTCCTTTGTCTCAAGGGCATGTGTGCTCGCAGTCACGTAGGCGGAAGGCCAAGAAACGGTTGACAGACTCCATTTTGTTCAAGGTTCTAGCAGTCCCCAACACCGCCAGAGGTTTGTCTCCTTGGAAATTCTTGGTCCTGTCAAGTTGACAGTCAATATTAACCAATCACGTGTCTATGTTCCGTTTTTGCTTATTTGTCTATCATTTGTTAGGCACTGTGTTGTTTCTATTTTTTGACTATTATTTTAAAAAGTTACTGCAAGAGTCATGTATGTTCTTGTGTGTGGACACATGTGATGGTCAGTTTTCATCATCAACTTGACACAAAGTAAAATTGTCTGGGAAGACAGTTTCAGCGAGGGTAGTCTAGATTGGCTGGCCTGTGGGGGATTGTCTACGTTAACTGAAGTGGGAAGATCTGTCCACTATGGGGTGGCATTTGCATGCACACATGCTTGCGTGCACGCGCGCGCGCACACACACACACACACACACACACTAAATATAAAGATACAAATTTTTAAAGATACAAATACAAAATAGTTGCATGACTTGGCAACTTCACTCTAAGAGGAATAAAACATGCTATCTTAATTTCATTCCGGTTGCTCTCATAAAATACCCTGACAGAAGGAAAGCTATTCAAGGGGGAAGGGGGCACTATTAGCTCACAGTTCCAGGTCACAGCACATCATGGTGGGGGAGTCAGTGTGTCGGGAACTTGAAGCAGCAGGTCACATGACAGCCAAGAGAGCGCACACACACACACACACACACACACACACACACACACACACACACACACACACACACACACACACACACAGAGAGAGAGAGAGAGAGAGGTGCGCATGCTGGGTTTGTGTGCTCTTCTCTACTACAGTCTGAGACCCAAAGATAGGGAGTGGTGACAGCTCTCAGGAGTCAGTTCTCTCCTGTCACCCATGCCTATCTGGGCTTTGAATTCAGGTCATGAGGCCTGTGTGCAGTTGCCTTTAGCATCTGAGCCCTCCTGCCTGTCCTCATCTGTACTCTTTGCACGTTTGTCAAGTGAATTGTTTGACTCGTGGGAATCCTCGTACTTTTGGGATAATAGCCTGTTTATACTATTGGTTGGAAACAGCTTCCAGGTCAGGGGCTTGTTCACTTTTTTTTCTTTTTTAATAGCACAAAAGCCTTAATGTGTCACTGATTTCCCTCATGGATTATGCCACCCTGAGTGTTTCTTGTCTGAGGATGTGGTTCCTGCTTTGAAGTTCTAGAGCTGTTGGCCCATGTTCTCTCCTAAGGATGGAGACACTCTGTTGCCTGTCCTTAGAGCTTTCACTGTGCTTTTGTTGTGTAGTGTGAACTATTCTCTAAGAATCTCCCCATGAAAAGTACATGATTGATTAATTAGCCTTTCTCTCCTCTGCTGATGTCAAGCACTCCTCTGCCATGACTAATGTGGTAGGTTTTGAGCCAATTCTGCTGCTCCTTCATTTTAAGCTTTTTAAAAAGAAATTTATTTTAAATTGTTTATGTGAATATGCATGTAAGTGTAGTGCCTACAGAAGCCAGAAGAGGGTGCTGGAGTTACAGACAGTTGTGACCCACCTTCTGTGAGTGCTGGGATCTGAACTCAGGTCCTCTGCAAGAGCAGTATACACTTAACTGCTGTGCCATCTCTCCGGCTCTTGTCTTAAGCTTTGAACTTTGACTGTCCTCACAGTTTTGCTTCCAACAAACTTGTGCTAAGACTGATCTTCCATATTGTCCTTTAAAACCACTTGAGCTCTTCCCATGTCCCAAATCTACCAAAGTAACATTCTCATGTTCCCCTAGAAACACCTGCTGTATTATGTGGCAGATTGATTTTCATATGTATATATATGTATATATATTAATACATATTGTATACACACACATACACACACACACACATACACACGCATGCACAAACAGGGTCATAATGTGTGACCCAGTCTGACTTCAAACCCATGATCCTCCTGTCTCAGCCTCCTGAGTGCAGGGATGGCAGATGTGTGCCACCACCCTATGGCCGCAGGTTTCTGTTCCACCTGGTCCCACCTTCCTTCAGCCCCAAATAAGCACACAAAAACCTTTATTAAATATAAACTGTTTGGCCAATGGCTTGGGCTTCTTACTAGCTGGCTCTCTCTTAATTATTAACCCATTTCTATTAAACTATGTGGCTGTGGCTTACCTGTAATCCACATGTTACTCCTCCAGCCACTACATGGCTTCTCTCTCTGCCTCTCCCCAGAATTCTCCTCGTCTGGTAGTCCCACCTATACTTCCTGCCTGGCTACTGGCCAATCAGTGTTTTATTCATCAACCAATAAGAGAAACACATATATAGAAGGCCATCCCCCATTACCACGCCTGGTATTTCTGTAGGGTTTTGTTAGATAACTTAAATCATAGTAAGCACTTGGCTTACCACATAGGGTTTTTTTTTCAACTTACCATATTGTGTCTTGGTCACAAGTTTTCTTGTGAGACAACCTTCCTGCAGCCCACTGCAGCTTCAACCCAGTCACTCTGTAAAAGCTGGGGTGTCCAACTTGATTTTCTGATATTTTGTTATAGATTTTAAAGTTTGCATTTATAAGTGATGGTGCATAATTTTCATTCTTAAAAAATCATTTTTTTTTTTTAGGTTGGAGAGATGGCTCAGCAGTTAAGAGCACTGGCTGCTCTTCCAGAGGACCCAGGTTCAGTTCCCAGCACACGCATTGTGCGGTTACAACTGCCTATAACTCCAGCTCCAGAGGGATCTGCTGCCCTCTTACGACCTCTTTGGGCCCTGCACTCACACACAGACACATAATCAGATAGAAACTAAGCCATATTTTTAAATATAAAAGCCCTTCCCACCACCCTTTTTTGATCTGGATTAATTCAAATATGGCCTCAAGTTTCCTTTTTCTTGTTGGAGTTGGTTTTCTCCTTCCATCATGTGGGTTCAAACACGAGTCATCAGGCTTGGTGTCAATCATCTTTATACCCTTTGACTCATGGAATGAGAGTCCCACTCTGCTTTCTATAATGTAGGCTTTCTTTTTTCTTTTCTTCTTCTTTTTTTAAGAGGTCTCTTACTGTGGCCAAGGCTGACTATGAACCTGAGGCAATTCTCTTTCCTTGTTCTCTGGAATCCTGGGGTTGCAGGTTTGTGCCACCATGCCCAACAGGTTCAAGGTCCTTGAAGGTGGCTAACTGTTGTGCTACTGCAGGAAAACAGAACGGACCTTGCTCCTGACAGGTGTACAGTGAGCAATTAACAGCTGAGTGAGACGTTTATGGAAATTTATATGTTGAAATAGTTAATAATAGGGTCTGTACAATGGTGAGGTCATAAGAGCTAAGAAGAAACTGGGGGAGAAAGAAATATGAGCCTCAGAGTCATGGGCCTGACCTAGTCAGTGAAGGGCAGGTTAGCTCTGGTGAGCAGCACACATGCTCACGATCTCCCTGTGCTCACAATTCCCCTAAAGCACCAGGAGTCCCTGGCAATTGTCTTACACAGGGATCATTCTTAGCCCTTGAGATCCAAGAGAAACCCCAGAGCTGTATCAGCCCTGTGGAGCAAAGGAGCTTCCCCGTCTAACTTCTGAGCAGAGGCGAAGCAGGTGTCCTTCGAGCATGTCTCTAGCTTGGCTCCCAAGTGACCATGCACTCATTTGCATGAGCGGGTCACAGGGGTAAGAGTGAGGAGCACAGACCAAGAACACTGCCAGGAAGCAAATGACTAGCCTGTCCTTGTCAGCCATGCATGTCCTGTACCCAGCCTCTCCCTACCTGGTATCCGGTTGGCTCCTTTTCTGTTTGTAGATGTTTACATACAACCGTAGGCTTCACAAAATTGCTGTCACTATTTTGTTGTTTTGAGATGGGGCCTCAAACCTGCAGTTCTCCTGTCCCTGACTCTTGAGTGCTGAGACAATAGGTATGTGCCACCAAGCCTGAGCAGACTGACGCTTTTAGACCTGACTGGCTCAACTCTTTCACTTCATAGAAGAGGAAACAGAGGTGTGAATTACACCCCTGCACACTGGGCTGCACCTGCATCCCCTGAGTGGAACATGGCGGAGGAGCGGAGAGCTTGGGATTTGAAGGCAAGAGGCTTTAGCAAAAGTTTAACAAAAACTTGCCTAAGTTTTAAAGGCTGCTCAGCACACCACTTCTCTTTTGTCTGCACTGAGTTCTAGAATGCTCACAGCCCATGGATTCCTCACAACCTCTGAACTTGGATGTCAGCTCTGCCCTTTGAGCCCTCCTTGCAGGAGTCTTTGGCGGGAAGTCCCCGACTGCAGTGCAGCTGTCCCTGTAAGTACAGAGAAAATCATGGAGGGGACAGAAGAGCTGCCACTCGGGGTGGCCGTGCTCTGTCCTTGAAGCACTCCCTGAAGACCCGCTAGGCAACAGTAAAGTTGACCTGGGGACACAGACTTGGAGGTGATGGCTGAATCATGGCCCCTTCCCCCAGCTGACACAGGGATACCGAGGTGGCCTCTTACTGTTGCTCCAATGTGAGTTTCTGCCAGGTGTGGTGCCCCGGGGTCTCAGGCAGGAGGACTGGAAGCTGGAGGCTAGCTTGGACTGTATAACAAGTTCAAGGCCAGTCTGAGATGCATAGTGAAATCCTGACTCAAAAAACACCCTGCAATCTCAGCACTCAGGAGGCAGGGGCAGGAGGATCTCTATGAGTTCAAGTTCAGCCTGCTTCACATAGAGAGCTCCAGTACAGCTCAAAATACAAAACAAAACACCCCAAAACAAAAAACAAACAAATAACCCCTCCAACTGCCCTGAAACCTAATACTACCCCCAAACAATGTCAGACTCTCTAAAATCCTGAAAAGCAACAAAAGAGACAAAACCAAACCAAACTCAGATGCACATTTCCAGGGAACTGCAGCTGGTGTCTTCTGAAGCCAAGATCTCTTTTAAAAGAAGGGTGTTCAACCCAGCTTACCAGTAAGTATATTGGCTTAGAAACGGGGTAAGCAATTCTTATCGGACCAAGCTACCACATGCTGACAGGGTCTGGAACGAAGATTCCTGTGTCCAAGCTGTCTTCCTATGAGAGATGTAGATTTTCTGTGTGTCTGATCATTTGTGCATAGGTAGGGACACATTGTTTGGAATTAGTAGAAGTTTCTGAGTGTGTGGTTCCCAGGTCTGTCCCAAGATGTTCTAGGTCCATCCTCCTGGGGTTTTGTGCCTATGATAAGCATCCTGGTTGATTCATACATACTAAAACTTAACACAATTATGTGTTTTATATTAAACACATATACATGTATATATCTATTGTGGTGGAGACAGTGGCTCACATAGGCCAGGCTGGTCTTGAACTCCAGATCCTTCTACCTCCACCTCCCAAGTGCTGGGATTATAGGTGTGCACCATCATACCCAGCAAAATCTGTATTCAGTCAACTGGTATTTCTTGCCAATAGTTCCTAATATTGCAGATGCTTCTCATCTATGCTTACAATCCTTTTACTTGGGAGGGCTGCTCTTTACTAGACTGTTCTAGGCACTTTCACTGATAATAAATACAAGCGAACACGCCCCCCCACACACACCTCTACAGTGTTTCTTTGTGTAACAGTCCTGGCTGTTCTGGAATTTGATCTGTAGACCAGGCTGGCCTCGAACTCACGGAGATCCTCCTGCCTCTGCCTCCCGAGTGCTGGGATTAAAGGCATGGGCCACCACTGCCTGTTTTCTCCTTTTATCTTAACTCTTCATTTGCTTTGCTGCATTTTGTGGGCATGCCCTGAACATGATATCTAGCACACTTGGGGTATTTAGTAAGCATCTGATAAATGAACTAACGATGCCCTTGACAGTTGTGAATTTTTGGCTACAAATAAACACAGGCAGATCTCAGATTTGACCTGTTTCCTCTCCAGAGCGCAATGTTATCAACTAGTCAATTATCATCCAAGTACACCTTGAGCAAATAGAACAGGTGGATCCAGTAAAAAAGGACTGGGGTAAGAAAACAGGGCAAAGGTCCTCCCTGCAGCACAGGTAAGTCTCACCCCAGTTCCGAATCCCTTCTTCTAGGGCCCTTGCTAAGTCCCAGTCAGCCAGCTTGAGCAATTTCACTTTTACTGGTAGGTGCGCGCGCGTGCGTGCACACACACACACACACACACACACACACACACACACACACACACACACACACACACGTATGGTATTGAGCGCCCTGATAAGCTGTGGTCCTGTGCTCTGAGTTCAGTAGAAGAAGGAATGAATATTTCCTTATCTTTTGGGATTAACTATAAACCTTGATGTTCTCTTTGCCTTTCCCAGATGAGTCACCCGAAGCCCTGCACCTGCTGCCTGGGACTCAGGTCTCCATTCCTGTCCTAGGAATCTTCTGCCCCTGCACCTCCACCAGTGACCCTCACTGTGTTTTTATGCCCTGCCAGCTTGAGTGCACACAGAATGGCTTTCCTGTGCATGTGCACCCCTGCTTCCACACCACTCAGATGGTCATGCAGAATGTCCCGGCTCTGCACAGCACGTCCCATGTTTCCTAGTTCTGGCTTTTAGATCTGAAAGAAACATGGTATGCCCAGTGGTCTCGATTCCCCTCCATCCTCACCCCCCACCCACAGAAGCTCCCTTCTGGCCTTCACAGGAGCCTGTGTGTCACTCTGGTGCCTCTGTCTGCATCCGTCCCCCAGCCGGTGTCAGAGGTCCATCCTGTGGTTGAACGCAGTGTCTTCTCGCACGGCTGGGCCACAGTGGGGCTGCTGATGTTTGCTGTTTGTCTTAGTCTCTGTTCGATTGCTGTGGAGAAAGGCAACTCTTATAGAAGGAAGCTTGGTTATCATCATGGCGGGAAGCATGGTGGCACACGGGTAGATACTGGAGCAGTAACTGAGAGTACTACATCCTCATCTGTAGGCAGAGAGGGAGAGAGACTTTGGGCCTGGGGTGAGCTTTTGAAACCTCAAATCCACCTCCCTTGACACACTTTCTCCGGCAAGGCTACACCTCCTAATCCTTCTATTCCTTTCAAATAACCACCCCCTGGTGACCTCTGGGGGCCATTCTTATTCAAACCACCACAGTGTTTGTGCTGACTCTGATTCCAGAAACTTTTTCTCCCTAAAGACTGTGTTTTTTTTTTTTTGACAAGGTCTTGCATATAAGCCTGGCCTTGAACTCATTGATATTACTAGGTGTGACCTTGAACTTGTGATCTTCCTGCCTCTGTCGCCTGACTTCGAGGATTACAGCATGCCTGGCTTACTCGGTGCTGGGCACCAAATCCAGGACTTTGTGTGTGGGTAAGAGCTTTGCCAGCTGAGCTATGGGTTAGGGTTAGGTGTGTGAATGCAGCTGTACGCAGACTTTGTGGGCTTCCTGCCTTCACTTCTCTAGGGTGTGTCTAGAAGCTGGCTTGCCTGGAGGTTCCACCGGTGCCAAAGTGCCAGTGAGGAATGCCAGTTCTATCACTGGACACCTTCCCCAGCATCCGAGCTGTCACTTCATGATTCTAGTCCTCCTGGGGAGTGAGCAGCATCACCTTGTTTCCAGCTTTAATCTGTGCTCCACTGGGTGCAATTTTGACCATTTTCACCAGGTTTCTAGGCTATTCTTAGGACGTCGTGGCTGTTTAGCCCTTTTTCTTCCTCTCCCTTTCTCCCCTACTTCTCTTTCTCTCCTTTCCCTTTTTATCCCTCCCCCCTCTGTTCCTTCCTGCTTGCTTGCTGGAGACAAGCCTATGCATTCAGGGCTTAGAAAATAAAGCCCATTTAATGCTGAAACTCCAGTAAGAGGGATCAACACAAAATTGGCATTTGTTTTGTGTCCCTCTCCTCATGAAGATATTGGAGACCATTAATGATCCCATAGTTGGTCATCTTTATGCAAATCTTGGAAAAAAAATCCTGAACGCTTTCCTGGGCTGGAGGGGATAAACCATGGTTGCACAGTGACTGCACTAGAGACAGAAACAATGGTCACGGACTCTTCAGCAACCAATGTCAAAGAAAGCTTCTGTAGCCAGGGTGATTAATCCTGCAACAGCCTGGGCACTGCTGAGCCTACAGTGCTCTGAGGAAGGAGTGTTCAAACAAACATGAACTGGTTTCTGGGATCTGGCCAGAGAGAAGGTCCACAGAGTCAGGAATTCTTCTTGGGAAGTGGAGGAATTAGCATGTGCTGGTTAATATGGAAGTTATCATTCTTTCATGGTGCTGACTCTGGAACCCAGGGCTCTACCACAGAGCTGTATCCAAGCTCAGTTTGTCTTTTTCTTATTGATTTACAGGGATTTTGAAAAGTATTCTGAATAGAAGTCCCTTCTTGCCGGGTGTTGGTGGAGCTCACCTTTAATCCCAGCACTCAGGAGGCAGAGGCAGGCGGATCTCTGTGAGTTCGAGACAGGCCTGGTCTACAGAGCAAGTTCCAGGACAGCCTCCAAAACAGAGAGAAACCCTGTCTCGAAAAACCAAAAAAAAAAAAAAAGTCCCTTCTTTTTCTTTTTGAGACAGAGGCTCAATGTGTAGCTCAGGCTGAACATGAACTCCTGATTGTAACGCATAAAAAAAGACCCAGAAACTGATATTGGGGTTCAAGCTGAAGATCAGGAAAGCAAAGCACCGAGCCACTAGCTCTCTCCTCTAGCTCAGGCTGAAAGGGTTGATCCATGTACCAGCTCTTCACCAAGTCGCAAACTGCTGCTTCTCCTCAGTGTGACTGGAGAACAGATGCCTCATACTGAATAAAAGATCCTGCTTCTCTTATACCTCTTTAGTGCTGGGATTAAAAGTGTGTGTTCCGTTACTCTTTCAGACTGATTCAATTTCGTGTATCCCTGGGTGGCCTTGAACTCTGAGAGATCCATCTCCTCTTAATCTTGAGTCCTAGGATTAAGGGCGTGTACCACCACCTCTTAGCTTCTGGCTGCTGGGATTAAAGGTGTGTGTTACCACTGCCTGATTTCTATAGCTTGAGGCTTACTTTGTTTGTCTGACTCCTCAGGCAATCTTTAATAAATCAAAAATAATATGTCACTACACCTGATGCTCTTGCCTTAGCTTCCTGGGTGCTGAGATGTCAGGCATGCCCTACCACCTCTGACTTAGGTGCTCTTTCTTGAGCACATATTACCTCCTCAGCCTTGCCTCCTCCCACACTCTGAATTCCAGTTCATATTTTAGTATTTTTATTTAGTGTGTGTGTGTGTGTATGTGTGTGTAGAGAGAGAGAAAGACAGACAGACAGAGAGAGACAGAGACAAGAGAGACAGAGACAGAGAGACAGACAGGGAAAGACAGATTTGGTGAGAATACTCATGCCAAGGACCCTCAGAAGAGGCCTAGGTAACCTGTGTGTAGCAGGGAGAAGGTCTCACCGGGACGGTGTGCCCTCTGGGTCTAGAAGACATGTTCAGCTGCCTCCCCTGGAGGAGCTGGGAGGTGGTGATGGCCTCTCCCAGAACACTTTGGGGGGCTCCTCTCCTGAGTTAGGCCCTGCAGATGCTTCTCCTATGTAGTGTTATGACCTAGCCCAACCTCTAGAGATATGCCTATGCCTCATCTTCCAAGGTCCCTCTGTCTCCCAGGAAGCTCTGACAGGCAAGATTCTACACCGAATCTCTCCTGAGTGGCCATCTCTGGCATGTAGGAAATTTACATGTGACTCACCCGAGACACCATCTTCATGGCTCCACCTGCAAAGACCCTGTCAATGTGCAAGCATAGTCAGTGCACATTGCTGGCTTGGGTTCTGTTAAGTCTGAGACCTGTGCTTTCAGGGGATATATTTCAGACGTCTTTGAAGACACTTAGCAAGAGCAGACTAGGCAGCGGCTCCCCCTGAGCACACATGGTGTCAGGACAGTTGTCAGGCAGGCTAGGCTGATGTCCTACAGCGTGTACAGTGACACCTGCTGCCAGGGCCACATTCTGGGACTGACTTCCCTTAGCTCCTTCTACCTTTGCTAAGACATAGGGTGCTCCTTTGAACTTTGTACCCCTGACAACATTTGTATGTAGGAAAATCTGCATAAGCTTATAAGGGGCATATTTGAAAAAAGATAGGAGTATAAATGTACATGGGGGTCTTTTGTAGGAATCTTCCTCAGGTCTCTGATTTCTGGGCTCTGCCCTTCACCACAGAAAACACATTAAAACTCTTCCACACTTCTCTTAAAGAATTTGAGGTTTTTTTTTCCCCTGAGACAGGGTTTCTCTGTAAGTTTGGAGGCTGTCCTGGAACTCTCTTTGAAGACTGGGTTAGCTTTGAACTCACAGAGATCTGCCTGCCTGCCTTCCTCCTTCCCTCCCTCTCCAGTGCTAAGAATTTGAGCTTTGAAAAATAATTTTCATTTCAAATTCTTTGACCCCAGGGAACTCCACTTGACTCTTGACTTTTGGACAATATTTATCAGTGAATTAACAAGTGACAATGTATCTCACAAATGCCCTTCAGGTATACTAAAATGCTCATCAGGATAAATTAGAGTTAGGAGGCTCTGTTTGGGAAATCCTTATTTGAATTTGTATTTACTTATTAGCCGTGCGTTTCTTGTATTTGGGGACCAATTTAAAAAAGTTCTTGTCCTGGTTCCAACGTTTTTCTGTCTTTGAAAAGCCAGATGAATGAGTTTGGTAGACGTGGCCACAGGTGTGTGATTGGCAGCAGGCAATAAAAGTCGATTACCTCACTTAAGGCTCCACACCCTCACGTACTATTCAGGCTGGGAACAGGCGCTGGCTGCGTTCCTGACATCACTTGGAGCACAAGGGAAGGGATGCAGCAGAGCCTTCCTGGGGGGCATCCCAGCCCCAACGCGTGCAACACCCCAGGTTTCCCGTGTCCCCAGGGCAGCTTCAGGTGGTCATCCTCCTTCCACTAGGGCCGGTGGAAGGTAGCTGTCGTCCATCACGCAGCTCTGGGACCGGCCTTTGCTCTGCAACTCCAACCCAGGCAGGTGCCACCCACGGCGCCTCCGGACACGTGCTCTAGACAGGAGCGCCCTGGAGCCTGAGCCATACCCCAAGGGTGACCTGTGCAGCACCAGCCACCTTGACCTTGGGCAGACGCCCCAGTCCCCCAAGCCATCCTTGGGGCAGCCCCCTCCCGCGCCGCCCCCGGGATAAAGAGAGAAAAGGGGCTCAATGGGGCGCTGGGAAGCGCAGAAGTGATTTCTCGGAAAGGCGAGTGCTTCAGAGAAGGCGGACCTGGCGAGCCGCGCTGATTGGGCGACGCCAGCACCCCTCCCGCACTCCATTGGCTTGCGCGACCGTCGCTCCGCGCACGGAACCCGCCCTCGCCCCGCTTAAAGGGGCGCGTGCTTCGCCCCAGTAGCCGGCGGCCGGTCGCCGAGGCGCGGGCAGCGTGGGAACTGGCAGCAGGTAGGACGAGGCTGGGAGGGCGCGAGGGCCGGGGTTGTGTCTCTCCCAATCGCTCTCAGAAGAAGTGTGCAGCACGTTAGCAGGTGCCTGCTCCTGCTGGCTGCTTACAGTAACCACTACAATAGCCCCCCACCCCCACCTTTGCCTTAAAATTTGCCTGGTGGGCAACTTCATGATGAAGAGAAATAGTGACCCTCTGTATTTTTGTAAGACCTGCCAATTTCCGCGCAGCAGCCCTGTTACCAAGAGTCAACTATCCAAAGCAAGCGAGTGGGCTCGCCCAGGGGCCAACAGGCTTTGATTTTGACTAGTGGTGGTCCGATTGCCCAGTGATGCTGGACTTCTCTGACTGCGCCCCAGCTGGCTCGGTCAGGAAAGTCATGTGGGTCACAGCTCCCAGGACCGGTTTGCTGTGAGCTTGGCTCCAGGCCGTAGCGCAGACTTTTCCTGGTGAGAAGGGATACTTAGCCACAGCTGAAGGATTGGGGGTGGTGGTGTAGAAACTAATTAGAAACTAGCTATAAATATTCTAGAATTTTGAAATTGTTTCCTGTAGCTTGCCTTTTGCTGCTGCTGTTGTTTGTTTTGAGACAGGGTTTCACTACGTAGCCCAACCTCGTTTGGAAAACCTGATGATCCTCCTCCTGCCGTATCTTCCCGAGAGTTAAGATTTCAGACTGAACCACCATGCCCAATGATCCCCACTTTTTCTTTTAAAGCCAAAGATAAGAGCAGTTAGATGACAATTCTAGGTTTGTTCTTTTAAGCTATGGCAGGCTTCTTCACGAAGATCTGGGAGTGATTCAGTGGCTTGAGGAAGCTTGGGGACAGAAAGAGAAATGGCTGTGATGAGTTTCCGCTTAGTGGTAGCCAGAGTGGTGTCCAGAGCTGAATGAAGGAGACGGTGTGGGGTGAGCCCTGTTACACACGGCTGGTGCAGATGCTGACATCTGTGTTGGGTAAGCCTCCAGACCTGCTGTCACCTGCTTTGTGAGAAGCCTGGCCCCTCACACATTGCTCTGGCCATGGGTTAACTCTAGACAGATCTGGGCCAAGAGAGGGAATGCTACATCAAAATCAAGAAGAGGAAGCTATAATCATGTGAGCGTGTTTATAAATCATTACTGTCCATAGCTGTAAGAGGGCCAGGCTCTGCCTGCCCGGGACCTCGGACGTGACTGCAAAGGGAATAGGAAGGTTGGTTGTCCGTGTGCGGAGAGCAGGAACCCAGATGTGACTTTTGTTACCTCTGAGAGCTGGGCACAGTGCTGACAGTTTGTGTTGTGCCCAGGGGATGACTGTCCCTCCAAGTTTCTCCTCTTTTGAGTGAAGAGGAGGCTGGGTGAGAGGATTCTAACCTTTGCTTTCAGTGACCTCTCCTTTCTCTGTCACCCTCTAAGACAGGGGCCCTTCACATTCTGGGGTGTTGGTCATCTGAGGAGCCCTGAAGAGAAAGTTCCTTTTCTGGGGAAAGCTTCAGCCCTGCCAGCAAATTCTCTTTAGATTTCAGGAGGCTTAGGTGCCAGGGGCTGTGGTTTACAAATCCATCTCCAGGGGAGAAGTTGAGATGTCTTTTAATTGGCATATCTCAAACACCAGTCCCTCTGTTGTATCCTGAGCCCCCCACCCCCCTGCTCCTGCCCACACTCATCAACAAAAGATATGGTCATGTTGGGAGTTTCCTCTTCCCTAGAACAAGCTGTGGGAGCCAGCACCCTACTTGTTTTTTGGGGAGTACCTGGTGGCATTTTATTTCTCTCCTCAGCACAGTGGCCTTAGAATTCTGGGTTTCTTGAGATTTCCCCTCTTCCCCTGCTTTTCTGCTGAGGGTCCTCAGACTGAGGATCAAATGGCTTCCCAAGGTGAAGAGCAGAGCCCTTGTGAGGTCAGGGTTTCCCAGCCAAAGTGCTTGGGATGTGGCGCAGGCGGCAAGAGCACTTGTCTTTAGCGTGCACAAGTTCTGGGTTTAGCCCCGTGAAGCGGGGAGTGGAGTCAGGAGGATCAGGAGTTCACAGCCATCTTCAGCTACCGAGGGAGTTGGAGATCAGCTTGGGATATGTGACCCTGTTTCAAAAATAAAAACAAAAACTGGACAGCGCCAACTCCACTTCAGCCCTCATCCATTTCCAAGCTCACAGGTGGCAGCTGGGGGTGTTGGGTGGTAAAGCCAGAGGCAGCCCTGGAGAGATCTGAGCTCCCTTTCTCAGGACCTGCCTGCTTTCTCGAAGCCCCTGCCATGTGCAGTGTGGCCTGGAGTTTGTGACCTGTATGCCTCTTACCAGCAATCCTGACTACCGTTTTGCTTTGTGGGACATGCTGGCTCTGGATGTGACCAGGTTCTTGGGGACATCATGTCTCCTCATTGCTGATAACTTCTTTCTTTCCTGTCCAAAGAGGTCACATTTTTAATTGGAAGACTAGAAATGCTGTGTTCTAGTTTTTGAGGTGGGCGTCTGTCCAACTGCCTTGGGGATTTCCAGGCTGTTCTAGTAAACTCTGGCTGCAAGTCTCTGGGCACAATTTTTTCTTTCCCCAGGCTGCAGGGAAAGCTACCCGACAGTGCTGGTGAGAATGTCCAAGGGTGCTGCCATTAGATGTCTGGAGACGGTAGGGCCTGGAAACAGAGCCCTTGAGTTGGCTTTGAACTGTCCCTTTGCTCTCCTCTAGGGTTGGTCACAAGAGTCCCTGAGGATCTGTGTTACTGACGGAGTCCTCTAGGGCACGGGCCCTGATGCAGGTACTTTACACATGTCACCTAAACTGAATCCCTAACACTCCAAGGCCAAATGGCTTTCGGGTCACCCAGCTGGAACATGACTTATTCCCAGGGGGAATATGACTCTATACTCTTTTTTATTCTTGTTACCACTCCAACTAGGAAAGGACACCTGTAAGAGGTAGCCTTGAGGGTGTCCTCTTTCTCAGGTGGTGCTGGGGTCAAAGTCTGCCAGGGACAACAGCCCCCTGGACAGCAGTAGTTAGACTCATTCTCAGAGCAGTGGGCAGCTCATAGCAAGGTTCAGCATTATATGAGAGCGACTTCGTCCCAGTAGGTGCCTCAGTGTCTGGAATGGGAGGTCAGGGGAGAGCTGGAACTCACAGCCAGAGCTGTGGGTGGGGCACATCTTTGGACAGGCAGCTCTGGATCCTTCAGGCTTTCAGTTTTCATTTAGGTTTAGGGTCATAGGGCACCACTGTTTTCTCTTGGCACTGGCCCAGATTTCTCCCAAGTCAGCACCTTTGTGTGGATCTCTGATCTTCCTGTCAGTTTTGGGGTCATTGTGACTCATGTTGTCACGTTTGATCTACTAAAAGATTTGTTTCGTTCCAAGGATGTGTGACCGGAATGGCGGGCGTCGGCTCCGGCAGTGGCTGATTGAGCAGATTGACAGCAGTATGTACCCGGGGCTGATATGGGAAAATGACGAGAAGAGTATGTTCCGTATCCCTTGGAAGCATGCTGGCAAACAGGATTACAATCAGGAAGTGGATGCTTCCATCTTCAAGGTAAAGGCCCCTGAGTCCCCACGCGGTGGTTTCTGATTTCGCTCTGGTTCTGGAGGTACTTAGGAGCGTCCTGATGACTAAACAATTAACCCAGTGTTTTAAGGGAAACACTGATTGAGGAGTGCTTGGATCTGGTATGCTCCCCCATGAAGTCAAGTGTGCTGTTCCCACCTGCTTGCACCCCTTTGCCTCGATGTACTGCCAGACTCTGCTCAGTGCTCCAAGGAAGGCTTCAGGCTTTACTCCTTCCACGTGTGATTCCTTGGCATGACAGGGCCAGCTAGGAGGGTGACAGCCTTCCATCATTGCTTCTGGGTCAGGGTTCGAAGGGCATCCTGAGCCTGTACTTGGTGGTTCCCTTTCTGAGAGGAGTAAGCGCTACCACTGAGGGCAGGCCAGGCAGCTGCGGTGAGAGTCAGCTTGAACTGTTCTTTTTTCTCATCTCCTCCTGTGTGGCAGGTGGTAAACCTGTTTGCATTCTGTAGTGGCACTGAGAAGAGAGGTGGCTTCTCCAGGGTTTCATAACCCCTGTGTGATATAGCCAGCATCTGGGATCAGGTGGTTTGAGGTCTTAACCCTTTATCGTACTGAGAAGTAGGGTGATTTCTCCCTAAGGATCAGCCCAATCCAGCTCTGTAGGCAGGTTGGGTCAGGAGATCCCCTGTGGGTTGTCATAGTCACCTAGGGGTGTTTCTAAGGTCCTAGGGATCTACATTCTACTCTGGAAATTTCAGAGCCGTAGGTGGTGGTCAGCCCAAACTTTACTGAGCAGCTGCGCTTTGGTGGTCTGACCCAGAGCCTTTAGTTCTCTTGTGTTCTGGGGAGCTGGGTGTGGGGAGGATTGAACTGCCGAGGACCAGAAGCTGACTAAAGACCGTGATCAAGTGGCAGCATAGTCTGCAGAGACTTGCACTGCCAACACTGTCCTGGATGCTGCACTCTGGGGCACAGCCTCCCCTTTGAAATGAGAACCTTGAAATGAGCTGGTGATGACTAGCATTGACACTGAACCTGAGGCACAGGGTATTGGCAGAAAGGCCATCATGATTCTTCCAGAGAAAGGGTAGAGTACTGGACCAGGGGTCTCACTTGTTGCAGGAGATAACAGGTCTCTCTTCAGCCAGTTCCCTGCTTCAGCAAACCAGAAGTCCTGAAATAAAGCCCCAGATTTATGTATCTTATGCAATATTCCTCACGGCCAGCAAGCCGTTTCAACAGCATTGAGAAGAATGCGCAAGATTCCCGATGTTTCCGTTGGTTACGCAGTCGCTCTGTGTGGCAATCTGAAATGAGACAACAATCTCGGCAGGAATGGTGGGAGACAAACGGGTGCCCACCAGATGGGGAGGCGAGCAGGGGTGGGGAGGGAGGGACAGCCTGGGAGGCACAGAGCAGAGAGGGGCTTTTCTAAGCTCTTCTGTGTGGGCTGGGGTGTCTCTGCATCATCAGCCAAATGCATCTTGGCTGTTGAAAGGACTCTGCATTGAGACCTTGGGTCATTAGAGCCATCTTAGGGACTTTTTGGCTAAGTAGGAAACATTCTATTCTCAGACAATTAAGCCTTTAAAAAATGTAGGTGTTAAGGAAAAAGTATATGCTTGCTTTTCTACTGGGGAAAGGGATTATACCAGAAAGCCCAGTGCTATCTGCAGGCACTGTCTTGAGGCCTGCTTCCTGTGTAGACCACAGATGGAGAATGAAAAAGACACTGAGCTTACATCAATCAGGCAAGGGCTGAGATTCCCTGGGCCCTGCTGGTGATAGGTCTCACTTAGTTACCCAATGCACAGAAGGCCTTGCCCTGCTGGTGATAGGTCTCACTTAGTTACCCAATGCACAGAGGGCCTTGAAGGAAGACATGGGAATACTTTTTATCTTATTCTATTTTGAGTCTGGGTCTTACAAAGTTCAGACCGATCTCAAACTGGCTACGTAGCGGAGGATGACCTTGAACTCCTGATCCTCCTGCCTCTACCTCCCAAAGGCTCAGATTACTGATATGGGCCACCATACCTGGTTTATATGGTGCTGAGGTACATTCCCAGTGTATCTCAGAATACTTCTTGACCATGGAGTCTGATTTGATGGTTGGGACTCCAGGCCTTCCTCACAGAGGAAGCATGCACACAGAATGAAGGAATGGACAGGTCAGCTCTGTTGAGGCACCGCAGTTCCCCTGTGTGACTGGGATGCTGCTGTGGCCTCTGTGCCTCCTCAGGTGCCACTGGAGTGTGGGTTCACTCAGTGATTTAGAGAGGCGGTCTTCACTCCCATGGTAGATGTTCTGGATTGCTATATCCATGGGGAGATACTGCTGGAAAATGCTTTAGGCAGTGTGTAGGATGGTCCTCACTGTGGGGACCACGCTCAGCATCAGAGGCAAAGAGGCAGAACCTTCTAGCAATTACAACCCTGAATCACTGTTACAGCCTGCCAGTTGTTCTTTTCTGATTTTGAATTCACAACAGTTCACAAGTCAGTATGTGGCCATCAGTGCAGTTTGTAATAAAGGCCAGAGTTGGAAAACATCTACTTAAAAAATACTTCTATAAGTGAGTTTGCAACTACATCAGAGAGGAAGTGTCCACTCAGGCTCAGTGGTAGGAATGTTCTTCCAGCTCTTGCTGAGCCGAGATACAGTATCTGGAGTCGATAGTTCAGAGAGCACTGACCTGGAACCTAAGTGTTTCCCGGAACTGTGCATGTGTGCTGTTCCCCGGAACTGTGCATGTGTGCTGGGTATGTGCCTTTGGAAGCCAGAGGTCCATGTGGGGTGTCTGTGTCTGTCACCTTCCAGGCAAAGGACCTGACGCTCACAGATTAGGCTAGATTGGCTGCCAGTGAGCCTTAGGGATTCTTCTGTCATCATGTCCCCATTGCTTGGATCATAGGCACACATACCCAGCTTTTTCTGTGGGTATTGGGGATTTGAACACGTTTGCATGGCAAGCACTGTATTGACTGAGCCTCTGCTTTGAATTTTTGGTCTATGCTTAGATCATAAGCTTTGGGCAGATCAGAAAAGTTAACTATTAAAATAAAACTATTTAGAAAACAGAGACACTTAACAGGGTGAACAATTTGTTGCTTTTTAAATGGCCAGAATCATGCAAAAAATGCAAAACAAACTTTCTATTAAAAGGAAAGACCTGTGATCATATTCAGACTTTTTCATATGTTCCTTTTTTATGCTCAGGGCTTTATTTGAAAAAAGTCTTTGTTTTGACCATTCTAGTGAAGCCATGCACACCTTCCTCTTTAAGCTTCATGACCTCAAGCCAGAGGAGGACTTTGCCAGAGATGCATCCTAGGGTGTGGGCAGCCTGGGGCCTGGGTTCAAATTCTGGCTTTGCTGAGAGTTGCTCTGGTCTGTTCGGATACAGTAGACAAAGTGGTCTTCCTGGAGCCCCATTGAGTGCTGACCTTGAACAAGGGTTGATGGCCAAGAAAGTCTCTGGGGAGTTGGGGTGTGCAGTCTTGTCTTCATGTTGAACTCTGTGGTTTGTGTCCCTCTGTTTTTACTGTGTTTCTCTTTCTTTCTTCAGGCCTGGGCAGTTTTTAAAGGGAAGTTTAAAGAGGGGGACAAAGCGGAGCCGGCCACGTGGAAGACGAGGTTACGCTGTGCTTTGAACAAGAGCCCAGACTTTGAGGAAGTGACTGATCGATCCCAGCTGGACATTTCCGAACCATATAAAGTTTACAGAATTGTCCCCGAGGAAGAGCAAAAATGTAACTATCTGTTGGGTCCAGGAAGCCTTCCAGGACCCTCCCTCAACTTCTCCCTTCTGCCCCGATGAGCCCTTGGTCTCCACAGAGCAGGCATGCCACCCACAGGGTTTGGGTGCCTGGTTTAGCTAAACAAAGTTGTTCTTTCTTGTATAAGCAGACACAGGGAGCTGGTCTGCTGACCTCACAAGCCATGTGCTGTCAAGTGGCAGCTTCCTGCAGAGGGAGTGGCCACATGGAGGCCGGGAAGGGTAGTCTGGGTCATGGCTCAGAGCATTCTGGGTCATGGCTCAGAGCAGGAGCCTAGCAGAGCCCCTGGAGCTCAGTGTAAACTCCCCTGAATAGGTGTGAAGCTCTGCCATAACATAGCATATGATGCAGAATTCCCTTTTGCTTTCTAGAAGTTTACAGAGGAGGCTGGGGAAGATCTAGTGGGCAAGGAAGGCTTGGGTCTCAGAGCTGGGTGAAACGTTCACCAGTTAGACAAGACTGCAGCAGTAACCTTACTGATGGCCGTGGTGTGTGACTGCTCTCAGGGATAACATCATTCCTGAGGTATCTTCCAGCAGTGAAATCCTAAAAGCACCTGTAAAGGAATGAAAGTAGGGACAGCACAAACCTGCCACACTGCATATGCCTGTGCTGTGGTCAGACATCACTAATCAATCAGAATGTACTGAGCTCAGTGCTAACCTCAGAATCCTTTTAAACTCATGTCCTGTGCAGAATCAGAGATGTTTAATCTCCGTCATGAGTTTGTGAGGTTCTTTGAAAGCCTTGGTTTTCACACTACTCACTTCACATGCACGTAAGAATATTGTGGAGTTGTGACTTTTTCTTTGGAAACTTAACAGCAGTCTGGTAACAGCCAAAACTGTGCAACAGTTCTTAGGACTGAACACAGATTCTGGGTTTGCCCTCATCCTTTGGTGGGGTTATTAAACAGCAGGCATGCAACTTTTTAAAAAGTAAAAATCTTGACTTAAACATATACACAGTGAGCTGTTGTCAGAATGTATGTCACACACCAGGGAACTGATATGGTGACAAAGCCTGTCAGAATATGAAGCACTGATATATTTAGTCTGTTAGGGAACGGAAGTGTGTTGGTGTGTGTGTGTGTGTGTGTGTGTGTGTGTGTGTGTGTGTGTGTGTGTGTGTGGTCCCAGGACTCAGGAGGCCAAGGCAGGAGGTTTGCATCCTTAAAGCCAGCCTGTCTCAAAAGCAAAACAAAAATCCCCCAAAGAGGAAGCTGAGCCAACTGATGCTTGACTGGTACAGGTGGTACCACTGAGGTTGGCAGTGTTGTACGATCTGGTCACTTGTAGTCTAGTCACCTGCAGATGGATATCTGGTTTCATTCACTCAGAGCCCTAACAGCTGACAATGGTAAGGCTTACACAGTGACCTTTCTTAGAAGAGGCTCATGGCTCCTGGGGCCTGGTCCATTCTGTGCTGCCTATGGAAGGTCGAACGGCATCAAACAGCTTTAATTACTGCCTGCTCTAGACTGTCTTCACAGTGATTTGAAGCAATAGGGAAGTTTCTCTTGGTGCCCCCAGGATCAGCCAGGCTTGACCGGGTAGATGACCCTGACTTGTTTATAGCGTGGGTGGAGTCCCATCACCTGCAGTGTTGGGGGTGAAGGAGCAGCAGGCTCTTGAGCAGAGGAACACAGCATTTGCATACTGTTTGTTCTGGTATACTGTACTATGAACTTGAGTGATTTGCCAGCCTCTCTGGGGGCCCTTCTTGCTCTCTGCTTGCTCCAGCAATGGCTTCTAAGTGAATCCCTGCATGTGCATGAAACAGTAGGGAGACTGTACAGGTCCCTGGGATTGGGGGGTTCTGTCATGGGTTTTGATCAAGCTGTCTCTCATAGAGACTAACCTTCCAAGGCGAATTCTGATCAGGGAAGAGGTACAAAGTGGGCCAGAAGCCATGTGGACCCATATGCTAGCAGATAAAAGCATTGGGTTCGCTGGGAGGCACGTGGAGGCTGTGAAACAGGGCACATACGTGACTTTACCATGTGGCAGAGGTGTGCACATACACACATGCATATTTGGAGAGAACAAAAAGATTTCCTGATGCCTGACTCCCCATCTGCCAGGATATTTTCCAGTAAGTCTCTGGATGTTTTCAAATACCTGGACTAGCAAACTTATCTTCAATATGTAGGCAGTGAATGTCTGCTATAAAATGTGCCAGGCAGATCTCAGATAGAAGGAAGAAAGCAAAGTCTGGTCCTTGTCCTTTAAAAGCCTGGTGTTTACAACCCCCAGCACCCACTTCTCTCTTTTGACTTGGCTGATCAGATGACCGGGCCATGAGAAGGCTCTGCTGAGTCTTTCCCAAACTTTCTAGCAGCTGCTAGTCAGAACCAGTGAGGACACTCACCACTTCTATTTCCTTAATTCAGCATTTTAAAAAAGGTTGCAATGCTTGGCTGCCCTGGGTCATGGTGTCCATCCCCTTTCCCATAGGCAAGCTGGGCGTGGCACCTGCAGGCTGCATGAGTGATGTCACGGAGATGGAGTGTGGTCGCTCTGAGATTGATGAGCTGATCAAAGAGGTGAGTGGGACCTCCCAGACATCTCCCCGGGAGGGGCAGACATCACTTTTACCCCTCACAGGCTTTGAGAGCCTTAGGCTCTCCAGGGATGTGACACTCCTACCTGAAGAGGCAGAGTGAGGGACTCTCTGGCCGCTTCCCCAGGCCAGCCTCCTTGTACTGGTCAGGCCTTGCGTGTCCTGATTCCTCCTGTGGGCCTCCAACAAAGCTTTGTTAAGCTCCAAGTTTACTTAAACATGTTGAATAGTGGCTTTGAAAGTCACCATGTGGTGTTAACCTTGCTTCTCAGCCCAGCTTCAGAAATAGAACATGACCTTCTCCATTACTTCTGGTCATCCAATTGGTTCTCATGGCATCTATATGGCTTGTTTTTTAACACACAAAGTTTATTCCTGAATGGGCCATTGGAATTGGATGACTGAGACCATTGGGATCCACTGATTGGGCTGGGGACTAACTAGTGACCCAGTGCTCACCTGGAATGCATGAAGTCTCCTGGTATCAAAAGACTGGAGCTTTTTGTATCCTTGACAATCCTGGCTAGACTGCCAGCCCGGTGGGTTTGTAGTCTGGGGTCTTATGAATTGCAAAGTGAAGTTCAGGTTCTGTCTCATGAGATAAAGGTGGCTTTAGTTGTTTATCTGATATTGGGTTTTACAAACATGGGCTTAGGGGAGGGCTGTGCTGGAGACCTGTCACTCAACCGTTATTTTCTGTCACCTGATCCTGCAGCCTTCTGTGGATGAATACATGGGTTTGACCAAAAGGAGCCCATCCCCACCAGAGGCCAGCAGGAGCCAGGTCCTTCCTGACTGGTGGGTCCAGCAACCCAGTGCGGGTGAGTGTGGGTGGCCAGCACTGCCAGCCATTAGGCACTTTGTGTTATAGTTGAGGGTACTTGACACTGTTAGGCTCTATGTCCTGTGGAAGGTCACTGAGTCCAGATGGGTGAAAAATTTAGCATGAACCGAGTTAGCCAAGCTGTAGCCTCCCAGGGAGGCACAAGTATCTTGGTCTATAACAGGTAGCTATGCATGACCACTCTCCTCCCATACCCCCAGGAAGTTGAGAGAAGGAGTCTGCTGAAATCCCCAAGACTCAAGAAAGGCAACAGCTCTCGGCCACCCTGCTTCTCTTTCCCAGCTCGTCATTAGGTTTGCTGTTCTGTTCAGACATTCAGGACATTCCCAGACCCAGAGTGACCCTGAGCTTCTAGAGAGAAGAGAGCCCAGTCAGGGCAATAGCTTGGAACCACATTGGGCAGTTGCATGTCTTGGTGGTGCCTCCATTTACTCAACCATAAATTGGGGATACCAGTACCTGCTTAGTGGAATTAGAAAGTTAAATGAGGGACTCACACTTTTGTTAGCATCTGGTGGGTATACACAGGCTGTAGATGTTTAGAGGATCATTCACCTGGTCCTCTACTACAGTGTGAGAGCAAATTCTATGGCTCATAGGCACCTTGGCTTCCTCCTTTGCCTCTTTCCTGCTAAAATAGGAGCTGCCAGAAGGTCTTAGTTGGCTCTGCAGGCCTATGCGGTTTCTAGGCTGTGGGTGTTAGTGTCTTGCAAGGGGCCCTGTGTTGAGCGATGCTTTTGGGAAAGCTGCTTGGGATCCCAGGCCCACATGAGACAAGCCCTGGTTGTTGTGTGTAGTCCAGTGGCATTTGGGCCAGGCCTTTGTGGTAGGAAGGGGGCATGATCCTGTGGATTGCTGGCACAAGGACAGGATCCCAGAGCGCTGAGAAAACCCTTTACCCTGGTGGGTTTATGTGTTTGTGAGCCTGCGAGCTCATATAGAGTGGGATCTGCCCATTGGCATCAACACCACCATCATCGGTGTCCCATCTATACCTAAGGTACATTTGGGTCACTCCCTGCTCATAGAACCAGCTCAGGTGAGAATATACTTTCTTTTCTCTGCCTATAGGCCTGCCACTGGTGACCGGGTATGCCGCTTATGACACACATCATTCAGGTACCAGGGTGTTCTGCATGGGTGGGCATGGCACAGTCTTTGTTTGAAAATAGTCTCATGATCTGGGTGGGGTCATGAGGTCCCATGGACAAGAGTGGCCTGGGGGTAGGCTTTGAGGACTGCTTCCTCCTCTTCATTCTGTGTGATTTGGGAGCAGGCAAGTGGCCCAGCTTTGTTGAACACCTCCCTGAGGTGGCCATAGTCAGCCCAGAGGATCTTCAGAGGCAGCGGTGCAGAAGAGAATGTAGGCTGCCCTGCTGCTTTGGCCTTTTGAAGCATCAAGTTCCTCATGTGTGAAATACTGTGAGAATCTCATGTGCTACACCGTCACTAACACTGTCTAGTAGGGATATGGCTGTTCAGTGTCACTTGTGCAGGGTCTTTGACCTCCTCTCACCTCCAACTCCATAGTGAGAGGTATGATGATGGTTGTCCTGATGCTGATGGCACTGATGGCTATGGTGATGATACTGATGGTGCTCAGTGTATGGGTGATGCTGCTGCTGCTGCAGATGATACTGATGGTGATGTTGTGGATCTTTGAATTCTCCACTTCTCTCTATGTGTCTTCTGATTGTCTTGTTGTCTGTGGTCTGCGTTACTTTGTCTCTCTGTTGTGTGGGTCTGATGCCTCTCTGTCCCTAATGAAGTGCTTTGCTGTGTGTTTATTTAAGGCACAGAAAACACAGCATGTGAAAAGACTGAGGGATTCTTTTTTTTTTAAACAGAGATTTTGAACAGAGTTTTACAAGGGAAGAAGTTACTTTGCTGACCCCAGCTGACCCAGAATAGCTGATATGTTATTAATTTTTGTCCTCATTTTGCTTCTAACACTTATGGGATATTTGTTTTGTTTAAGGTTGCTTTTAATCTTATGGCTGCTTTCAGCAAATGATTACCACAGCATGCACACTATTCTGGGGTGTGGTCATGGAGGAGTACATCATTTAAGATTAAAGCTATTATTTAGCATGGATTGTAAAAGCTGATTGCATGGAAAATCCAAGGCATAGTAAGGTTGGTTACATTGTTTTCTTAAAGGCAGGTTAAACAGACAGAACCCAGTAGGGAGATGGATGGACGTCTCAAGGCAAATATTAACCTTGTTGCAGGGCCTATTAACTGCAAAAGTTCAATTTCTGAAGGCAAGAGGTGTTTCCAGAAAAAAGCTGTTTTCACAGGCAATGCTTCTGATGGTGGGATGGTACTGGCACTGACGATGCTGTTGGTTATGGTGCTAATGGTGATGGTGATGATGGTGTTAATGGTGTGATGGTGCTGGTGCTAGTAGTTCTGATTAGTAGTGATGGTAATAATGCTGACAATTCTGATAGTGATGGTGCTGAAGGCGCTTATGGTGATGATGCTAGTAATGACGGTAATGGTGATGATGGTGGGGGGGGTGTTTGCAGTGCAATTTTGGGTGCCAGGGTTAAGTCTGACACTCTTGTGGGCTCTTTTCCACCCATGCCTCCAACCTCCTCTAGGTTACGGGGATAGGTTATTTCCCATTTCACAGGTTCTGGGTGGTGAGGCTGATAGGCCCCAGAGTGGGGATCTTGCTCCTGGTGTCCCATCCTCACTGCTGCTTGCTGTGGGACGAGTGGCATCTCTGTACATTCCCAGGAGCCACCATATTGTCTGGTTTCATGGCAGACTCAGTAGAGCTCAGGAAGAAGCATGCCCTGGGGACCATCATGGGGGCAGAGGCAGGTGCTCACCAAGTAAGAAAAATACAAAGGAAATGATGCTCTATCTAGTACCTGCCTGTGTGCTGGGGTCCTTCTAGATCTGGCCATACATAGAGACTCTAGCTTGTTCAGGTTTCCAAAGGCAGCTGCCTCCCAGCCTGTTCTCAAAGCCATCTTAACCCACTCACAGGAGGCCCGGGGTCATGGGCTGAGCCTTTGGCCTTGTCAGTCTTGGGTTGTGGCCCTTGCAATCTGCTGACCAGTGCATTCTGGGGACCATGTTGGCTGGGTCCAGACCTCTGGCCATCTGAGTGAGAGGTAAAGTTAGGCTGTTAAGAGGAAGTGTCCTTGAGCCATGAAGAGCTGTCTCAGCATATGTGAGGAAAGCAAGGAGTCCCCGGCCACTGCTGGGAACCTATACTCTGAGCTCCTCTTCCAGAATCCAGGTCACAAACCCTGTCTCTGTAGATAAGCCACAGGCAGGGCTCCTGGTTTCCTGACTACAGACACACCAGAGAGTGAGATGGGTGGAGAGGAACAGCAGGGAGATTGTGGCGCACTGTGGAGAGCCTTGGCCTTAAGGGCTACCCCATGCGTGGTAGCTGCCTCCCCGTGGTAACCAGTGTTCTGGGCCTTCAGATCTGGCTAGGATGGACTTCGTACTTATCAGAAAAATCTAGAGGTCTGGCTGTTAAAACTTTTTTGTTTTTTGAGGCAGTCTTAATGTATAGCCTGGGATGGTTATGACTCTCAATCCTCTTGCCTTAGGCTTTGGAGTGCTAGGGCGGGAGCCACCTCTCCTTATTTGCGTCCACCCCCAAGTCTCTCTCAGTGCCCCCTGCTATCCGCCCTCCCGAGGCTGCCGGTTCGTTCCCAGCCTGTGTGTATCCAATGAATGGGTCAAAGGCTTTTTGACTTGTCTTAGCATTTCAGAGTGAGCCAGAGCCTTCCTGCTGTGGGGAGCAAGACCAGGCTCCTCACAGAACAGCTGGACTGGCAGGGCCTGCACCTTCCTCTCCTCAGCCTCCCTTCCTCATCTGCAAAATGGCTGCAGTGACCTGTAATACATGGCAGGGGTTCAATGTGTGGATGGGCCCAAAGCACCTGTCTCAGTTCCTGTTACAATCCTTGCAGACCAGGGTTTGTGGTGCACGGTCTCAGGGGACTTATTTGTGGACCATGTTTCCCCAGCTCCTGTGGTCTCACAAAAGCCCCCCACAAAGCTGGTGCTATTGCCACCTCTACCTTGTTGATGAAAAGCAGACACAGAAGGGTGAAGTCCCTTGCCTCAAGTCACACAGTTGTAAGGAAGCAGTGCTGGAATTCTGTACTGAAGTTGATGCTGCTGATGTAGATGGTGCTGATGGTATACATGGTGCTGATGGTGTAGATGGTGCTGATGGTGTAGATGATAGTGCTGATCCTGATTTTATGATATTAATGGTGGGCCTGGGATCACCCATGGGGTGAGCTCCTGGTGTTCTCTGTGGATGCATCTGAAGCAGGCTTAGGCTGCATCTGGATTCTTAGACTTGCATTGCAGCATGGAGAGCATTGGCCAACTGCTTCTCCTCTGCATCTGCACTTGTCACTTGTGAGGTGTGGCAGCTTGTCACCCACGCTCCTTCCACCCATCCCTTCTCCAAAGTGAGAAGGCGTGGGGTCGCTGAGCCAGTCCTGTCTGCATATCTCTGAGACATTTTGCCGTTCCTGGGGGTGACCACAGTGTGAGCACAGGTTGCATAGTGGACACAGGATGCCGTGTGAGCACAGGGTACAGAGTGGACACGGGGAACATAGTGGACAGAAGGCACGGTGTGGCACAGGACACAGTGTGAGAGGCAGATGCAATGCTGGGAGCTCCATTCACTTGGAATGCATTCCTGAATTGTGCCAGGGCTCAGAGGGGATGTGTCAGTTTGTTGGTGATGCAGACACAGAGGGCACTCACATGGCTGGTGGGGAGTACAGGGAGTAAGGAATACGGACACTAGTACTGCCACCTAACTGCTGACCAAGCTAATTTGGGCCTCAGTTTCCCCAAATGTGAACTTGGTGACCTGAACCAAAACAGCTGACTCAGGTGACTCTCTCACACCACGTAACTGCAGCAGGGAACAATGAAGTCTGCGGACAGTGGTGGGCGCTCTAACTGATGGAAGGGTCTGAGGATTCCACATGTGCAGCAGGGTTAGCCCTGGCACCCAGGCCCAGGGTCCTGGTGACTGTACAGCTCTAGGACACTAGAGGTTTGGGGGCTATCAGCTTCTGTGGCTCCAGAGCGAAGCCTGGGCTGGTGTGGTGAGAAGCTGAGGAAGCATAAGGCTGCTATTGGTGGAAAATTCTGTTTGAAGCAGTTGACAGCATCTCCCGCGTCCCACAGCTCTGGAGTGTTCTCTTCACTCCTGCAGTAGCTCAGGGTTTCCCTAGCTCCCGTCATGGGAGCCCCACCTCCGCACTGGCTGTCAGTCAGGGACTGCGGGGCCTCTCTCTGCATTGTCTCAGTTCCTGTTACAATCCTTGCAGACCAGGGTTTGTGGTGCACAGTCTCAGGGGACTTATTTGTGGACCATGTTTCCCCAGCTCCTGTGGTCCCACTTGTCTTGTCTTTCCACTATGTCTGTTTATCTGGAACGCTGTGCCTGTAAGAGGACACCAGCACCACCTGTTATACAGGAAGCCAGAGGTGGAAGCAAATGAAAGTCAACAAAAGCAAACTACAGAGTTGGTAAATTTCCAGCCTCATGGCTCAAGTTCAAAGTCTTCCTCCAAAAAGAGTGTTGGGACTATTATGGTCTGTTGGTGCCAAAATGAAGCTTTTCTTTTTCTTTTAAATTGTATTTATTTGATTAGTTTACATTTGTGGTGCTGAGGCTGTAACCCAGGACTTTGCATGTGTGAGGCCAGCATCCCACACTGAACTGCTCTCTGGGTCTTTAGCTGACAGAGTGAAGGGATGGTGGAGGTGTAGCCTGTCACAGCTCCCTCCTGTGTAGCTCCCAAGGACAGCACTTCCAGGTCTTTCTAGAGGACAGGCTGTGTGCAGCATTTTACAGAGGGTTTCAACCTGAATCCGGGGAATCCCAGGTCACCATGTGTTGTGAAGATGATATTGTGATGATCATACCTTCACAGGTGGTATTTCTTCCCATCGTGAACGTAGGCCACTGAGTCCAGGGTGACAAAGGAACCAGAGCCACAGAGCACTTCATGAGAAATAACATAGGCTATGCCTGCATGGCTTGAACTTGGTGCGGTTCCCAGGCTTTACTAGATCTTGTGTGCATGAAGGCATGTTCACGTGTTGTGCTTATGTGTGTATAGATGCATGCATATATGAATGCATATTCATATGTGTGTGTTCATAGGTGTGTGTGTATACCAGAGGCCAGTGTTAGGTATCATTTCTTGGGCACTGTCCATCTTATTTTTTGAGACAGGGTCTCCCATTGGCTTGGATCTTACCAAGCAGGAGAGACTGGCTGGCCAGTCAGCCCCTGGTGTTGGTCTTCCTCTGCTACTCAGGTGCTGGGATTACAAGCAAGCAGCACTTGGAAGGGGGGATAGAGCCTTTGGGAAGGAGAACCTGGGGCTCCCCCTCTGCCAGCCCCTGACTGCCTTGTGTTGTCCTCCCCAACAGCCTTCTCCCAGATGTTGATCAGCTTCTACTATGGGGGCAAGCCCGTGGGCCAGGCTACCACCACCTGCCCTGAGGGCTGCCGCCTATCCCTGAGCCAGCCAGGGCTTCCCAAACTGTATGGGCCCGATGGCCTGGAGCCGGTGTGCTTCCCAACAGCCGACACCATCCCCAGCGAGCGGCAGAGGCAGGTGACCCGGAAGCTGTTTGGACACCTGGAGCGCGGTGTGCTCTTGCACAGCAACCGCAAGGGTGTGTTCGTGAAGCGGCTGTGCCAGGGCCGCGTGTTCTGCAGTGGCAATGCCGTGGTGTGCAAGGGCCGTCCCAACAAGCTGGAGCGGGATGAGGTGGTGCAGGTCTTTGACACCAACCAGTTCTTCAGAGGTCAGTACTGAGTCTCCTGGCTGCCCTGGCCCTAACGTTCACACCCACCCATGATCCCACCTCCATCGTGGACGAAGTTCACTCTTGCAGGGGTTGAGGGCTTTGGCAATGGGGAACCTTTTGAAGCCTGACCTGCACATTCTCCCTGAGCAGCCTTGGAACTGCTTAGAAATGCAGAGTCCAGGGCCTCAACCAGCCCAAACTCAGCTCGTTTACCTTGGCAGGGTCCTTGGGGAGGTGGCACGATTTAGTGTGTCTAGTCCTCAGCCTGTGGGCTGCAGGTGGCTCCCTTCCAAGTTCTGCAACCTATCCCGGACCCTGACTACCGCTCAGAGGCTCACTGGCTTCGCATTCTTCCAGAACTGCAGCAATTCTACGCCACCCAGAGTCGCCTTCCTGATAGCAGGGTGGTGCTGTGCTTCGGGGAGGAGTTTCCGGACACAGCGCCCTTGCGCTCCAAACTCATTCTGGTGCAGGTGAGAGCTAGTGGCGTCTGTCCTGTGCCCAGGCATCCTCACCCTCATTTATATGGGGCCAACTTTATCCCAGGGTGAGAAGAGACAGCAAGGGCTGCTAATCCCACCTTTGTGACCAGGGCCGAGGCGAGAGAACAAGACCGCAAAGGGGTCTTATCATCTCTGCATTTTGTCTTCCTGTGTTGGGACTATCTTCGTCTGTGTTTTCCTCCCTTTCTCCTGCTTTCCCTTCCTCCCTTCCCCTGTTCCTTCCTCTTCAGAAAATCTTCATCTGTCCAGTGGCCCTAAGGTCTAAGTGACAGATTACAGTTTTGTAGGCCCTTATTTGATTATGATCAGAGCAGTCCTGGGAGAACACTCAGCAGCGTTCAGAAGTGCCGTCTGTCTGGCTCCTTCTTGTCACTGAGGGGATCAGAGGGCCTGTGGTGGGGTGGAGGAAGGCCCCGTTCTCTTCCCACCTCTTTTCTGACTTCGCACATGGCCCTTGCAGGTGGAGCAGCTGTATGCCAGGCAGCTGGTGGAGGAGGCGGGCAAGAGCTGTGGTGTTGGTTCCCTGATGCCAGCCCTGGAAGAGCCCCCGCTAGACCACACCTTGAGGATGCTCCCAGATATTTGTGCCTCACACCAGAGACCCTTTTTCAGAGAAAATCAGCAGATCACCGTCTAAGCCTCACCCTGGGCACTTGTCCGAGGCTCAAGCTTCACAATTCTGTGCCTGACAGGATTCTGATAGGATGGTACCCCCCCTGGCTAGGGTGGGCAGTGTCCTCCATGGGGCCTCCAGAAGCCCAGAGATGGACATGCTCCTGCCCAGGCAGATACCGGAAGTTTGCAGGGGCTGTGGCTAGAACCTGCGATTAAAACATTGGTTTCCCGACTTTTCCCTTTACCATTAATGGTTGTTCTTTCTGCATGTTGAAGTCACTTTGACAGTTTAAATTAGTCTGTGGCAATAGAGTCACCTTTGTCCTTCTCTGGCCGAAGGTAGAGATTTCTGACTTCCTCTGCTTGATTGTACACAATGCATCTTTTTACTGTTTAGCCCTTTTCTTTTTGTTTTTGGCCAGAAGGCTGAGAAAATACGTTGATACACTTTAAAAAAAAAACAAAAGAAAACAAAACAAAAAAACTTCTATAATGAGGTGGTCCCGGGTAGCCTCTGTCTCCTTTCTAAATGGTTTTCACTTTTTAAACAATATTTGTGTTTTCACATGCCCTACTTTGGACCTTTCCTGTAAAATGGGCAGATTATAAATATGAGTGTAGACACTGCTTGTGAACGTCATATGAATTTTGGTTACGGCTCATCAATTCACATGGCTCTGTATTAGCAGGGGTTTGTGTGGACCATGGTAGGACCAGGAACTATGGAGAGGACCCATCCATAGGCATCTCTCCCTTCTAGTGTCCCATTCCACACCTGGTCCTAAGACCCAGTGAAAATCAGTGTCCAGATTGCACGCTAGGATGGGTGCTCTAGGAAGTGCCCACCCACATACCAGAGAAAGGTACATGTCCTACATATCGCAGAACAGAATGCTCACCTGTAGCATGCTGAGCAGAAGCCAGGGTGGAAAACTTAGGGCATGGCTCGGCGACTGAAGCCCGTTTGTGCCCCCAATCTGGCTGTCCAGTCTAGTATCTACGTAATTTAAATCATGGGCTGGGGTGCCTCCAGAGCTGCTTTCTGTGGGAGTGAGCCACTGCCAAGGATTTAGTGTGGCTGTCAGTGCACAGCAGGTGCTGGTGCCAAGCCAGCACATGTGGGTGTAGAGAGCACCCTCTCCCTTCCATGCCTGTCTGGGCACAGGAGAGGCTTCCTCCATCTGTTTTCCTTTATAACCAGCTTGGGTCCCTCCTAATGTGCTCAGCATTCCACAGTGAGGGGCAGGGCTGTCGTTCTGAGAAGTGGGGGAAAGCATGAGGGTTCGAAAGACAGTCCCTGCCAACAAAGGGCTCGGCAGGCCATGCCTTACAACCCGAAAAGTCGAAGAACACGGAGAACTTCGTGGCTGTTGTGTGAAGGTGATGGAGGTGGGCCAGCTCAACAGATACGGTCGCCAGAGTATGTGACACCTGCAAACAGAACCTGGGGATGGCTTTTCCCCCTCGACCAAAGCCAGGAACATCCCTTCTGAAGCTAGGACAACCTATTTGCTGGCCACTTGTCACACGTCACCTCCTGCCTCAGTGAGTGCTAATGCACAAAATGTAATCCAAATATTTATTTTTGTATCCATTTAAAGTGTTGATATCATCCTTTATTAAAGTAAATTACTCTTTCATAAAATTGATATCTCTTTTTTTGTTTTTAAAAACCACTCTCGAATATAATTTTCATTAGATTGATTCCAGAATTTTTTTTATTTTGATTTAAAAAAAAAGACAGGATATGATTTTGTAGCCTAGACTTTGAGCTCATGGCAATCCCCTGCCTCAGCCTCCTGAGTGATGGGAGTACAGGCATGAGTCACTATGGCTTTGAGGATTCTTAAGGGAGGACTTTAAAGGAATAATGGACTGAGACTTTTAAGGATTTAGGGGGTTTGTTTTTTGTATTTTTGTTTGTTTTGGTTTTTGTCCCCAAGACAATGACAGAAATGTCTGGAGAATGGGACTGATGTGTCAAAGACCCTGGAGAGCATAGTGGACAATGTGTGCTGTTCAGTCAGAGGGCTGGTTGGGTTTCAGTGAGCCCAGGCTGTGTGAAGTGTGGGAGGCCATGGAGGAAGGAGATTGCACTGGTAGCACCCTTCTGGAAGTTTCTGGAAGTATTAGGGGGATAGTTACCAGTCATAGTGATGAGGTATGACCTTCCATTTATACACACATACTCATAGGGGACACAAGCCCAGTATGGCCCCTCACTGATTCTCTGTCCAGCCCAGGGGCTATTAGAGAAAAAAGCTCCCACTGCAGGTGGGCAGGAGCTGCTCCTCAGGGGGGCAGGGGCTGCTCCTCAGGGGGGTGGTTGCAGCCTAGCACATCCTGTCCCTGAGGTAATGCATACTAGCTACCTCTGCTTTCCTGGAATCCCTCAGAGACAAGGCCTGTTAGTCACAGCTCACAGATGTGGAAAGTGAGGCAGAGGTCCATGCTTGGCTGGCGTGAAGCCTTCTGGGAACACATTGAGAGGGAGGAGCCTCTGTGCAAGACCCTTGACCCAGAGGACAGCTGACCCCAGAGCCAAGGACAGCAGACAGTTCTACCCTGAGTCATGTTAGCTCCAGAGAGCTCCAACCAGGAATTCTGTTTATAAGCATCTCTTCTCTGAATGTGGAAAGCAAAGCCAGTCCAGTCCTAGTTTATGTCTCTCAGAGTTCAACTCCTGGGCAGAGAGCGGATGCTGCCTCCCTGAAGTGAATGAGGGAATTGGAGTCTCTGAAGGCTGGGGCCTCCAGGGACAAGACCTGGGTCCTCAAAGGAAAGTGACTTCCTCTGGATGGAGAGTGTTTGGCTCTGAAGGGAAGACCAGCTACCCTGACTCTTGGGATCATAAAACACTTAGGAAGCTGGCGTGTGTCATTGCCGCTTAGCTTACTAATGCCTGTGGGATCCATGGGGGAAGCAAGACAGTGACCCTGGAGACAAGCAGGGAGGGGCAGGGCGGGAAGGGCAAGGCCGGGGTGCACCTGCCGTATGGGGATTGGTTGGGCAGCTGGAGGGTAGGGGTAGACTATGTGGCCACAGGACAGGCTACGGTTCCACCCACTCAAAACTCACCAGCTGCTCATGCTTCTGACCCTGGGTTTCTGGGATTCAGTACCACACACCACGGAGCAAATGCCCTGACGCTCAGTAAATGGCAAAAAAAAAGTGCATTTCCATATATCACTCGTTTGTAATTAAGCTGTGAGTGATTAAATAGTTGCACTATTAATACTAAATAGTTCTTGTCAATGAACTATAATGCCAATGGTCAAACATGTGTGTCAATCAATAAGGTAATTGTGGGGTGTGGTGGTGCATTCCTGTAATACAAGCACTGTCAGAAGGTTGAGGCAGGAGGATGGTGAGTTTCAGATCACTCAGGGCTGCACATTGAAACATTGTCTCAAGAAACCAAGCCAAACCAAAACAATAATAATGGAATACTCAATTTTGCGATAAAGCAATGTATGAGTGTAGAATTATATGGTTTCCTTTAGTTATGGACACTGATTTAATTGTATATGATATTAGTGTGGTCATTTCAGAAAGCTGCAACTGTAAACAGTGATGAAATTGCTAAACTTCTCTCATGAAGTTACTTGCACAGGGTCTCAGCTAGCCTGGTGGGCCGCCTTGATCCCAGCTTCCTGCCCAGAGCCTTGAGTACTATAGTAGTTTTATTTTTACTTGTTTTTGAGAGAGGGTCTTAGTCTGTAATCCAGGCTGGCCTCAAACTTGTGTCAGTCCTCCTTCCTCAGCCCCAACTGCCTGTGAGGTAGGATGGCTCTGATGGTCACATGGAGGGGGTGGAAGGCCTATGAGGTGCTGCCTGTGATCCACATGGAAAGAAGGGTCCAAGGATGGTTCAGAGCTGCTGAGAGATGGGAGATCCTGGCTCAACCTTCTCCCAACAAGCAGCTGGAGCATGAAGGCCGTTCCACAGGTTTCTTTAAGCGGTCAGATGGACTTGCGCATTCTGCAGGAGGAGTTGCTGTGAGCGCCCCCCAGTGTGCTTTAGGCCAGCCTTTCCTATGTAGTGGAGGGAGAGGGGCAGGGAGGGAAGGAAGGGCAGAATCTGGGGTCTAGGATCACTTGGTGAGGGAACAGCTTTTGTGGATGCTGCCCAGTGAGCAGGGTTGGAGCACAGATAATAAAAGCCCAGAGACAAATACGGGGATTCATGCTGAAGATCAGAGAAGCAAAGCAGCCAAGCCACTAGCTCTTAGTCTCTACCTCAGACTGAAATGGCAACCCTGTCTTGAACAAGCCTCAGACTCCAGTCACAGACTGCTGCCTCTCCTCAGCATGGCTGGAGACAAATTCTCTCCTGAGACCCTTTGTTTCTCCTCTTAGACCTCTCAAATCCCAGGATTAAAGGCACGGCATCCCAGGAGCTGAGATCTTTGTGTGAGCTGTTTCTCTTTTAGATTGGATGAATTTCATGTGTGACCTTGAACTAACAGAGGTCTATCTACCTCTTACTCCTGAGTCCTGGGATTAAAGGTGTGTACCACCACCTCCTAGCTTCTATAGCTAACTAGTGTGGCTGGGTTTGCATGCTGAAATTATAAATAATATTATCACCACACAGGATCCTCCTGGTCCCTCCAGCATGTGCACATGGAGGGCTGAGTTCTGGAGTGACACTGACTCGGAGCTGTGTTACTGAGTGGGCTGAACTCAGAGAATTATGGGTCACACCCTTGTACTGAGGATCTGGTGACTATAACAACCCCTGATTTGCTTTTGTCTGAAGTATACGAAAAAGGAAATTTAAAAATTGCCCAAACCCCCAAAGGGACACAAGGGATCCCCACGGCAGCTCCTTGGCCAGCTTTGGGGGCGAAAAATCAAAGTCTCAGCTGCCCCAGCTGCCCCTTTCCTTCTTGCCCATAGGAAGGGTCTTAGTCTCCACAACGCCCTGTCTGTCTGTTGTGAGGCATTGAGCAAAGCAGGTTAGAGATGCCAAGGCCCGAATAAAGCTACTGTTGCCAGGGCCCCTGCGAATAAGACAGACTCTTACGATGGGAGCTCCTTCTAGATTTCTATCCAGGCCAATGCCCCAGGGTTGAGTTGGAGTCTGTGGAGAGGGACACAGACATTAGAGCCAGAAAAAAACAAATGATACCACAGAACAGGATTTAGTCAGGCTGAGATAGCTTCAAGATGGAAGCCAGGCCATGAGCCAACAAACGAGGGACTCTGAACGCTGAGAATGGCAGGGAAACAGGAGGAGGTTCTAGGAGGAGCTGCCATCCCACTTTGTGGTTTTGACCTTGAAGACTGTAAGTGCTCTTTTAAGGTACTAGTATGGCCATTTGTCCCACAGCCCGAGGAGAGCTGCACAGAGCCTCGATGCTCAGTGGAGACAGCCAGGACTCCCAGGATGTGGATTAGGGCCCTGCATTTCATGGTGGGTTGGACCATTCCCCTTTCCTCAGGACTCAACTTCCTCACAGCTGATTCTCTTTCATTGGAGGCAGCCTGACCTTCTCACAGGGGAGCTACTCTGCCCCAGTACTTGGGGACCCTGGGGTGGAAACCCCAAGGTTGAAAATAGCCCTGCACTTTTCTTGGTTAGGTTTCTTGCTATCAGCTGCCTCGGGGCAGCGGGCCGAAAAAGCCACTTCCTCTGCCAGTCTCACTGTCCATGCTGGCAACTCTCGTCTGTCCTGCTGAATTTCCAGTCATGTGGGCCACCCGGGCGGGGCTCTGTAGAAAGATTTCCCCAGTGTCCCTGGTCTGGCTGTGTAGACGTTTTGGGGACAGGGGTTGCTGCCCGTTTCTGTCTTTTTGTTCTAGGGTCTTCTTCGTCCTCAAGTTCGAGGTGGTGTTTCCTTTCTGGGGGTGTGAGCTCTGACCACGGTGGTGTCATGGCCAAGAACTTGTTTCCACTCAAAACCACGGGCAGCATAGGCCTTTCTCAAGAAATTTCTAACCCACCCACCCTGAGTTCTCAAGCTTGACCTCAGGGCTGGTTGGCGCTAGAAAGTGTAAATGACACCATAGGACCCAGATCACCGTTAGGTGTGTGGGAGGAAAATGCCAGCTTTACAATTTGCCTCATTTCACACAGGCTGCTTTTTAAATGCCAAGGAGGCAAACAGTGTCCTGCTCACAGTGACTGAAACATAAAGCTTCCTGTGATGGCCTGCCACTCCTCACCATCACGGGACAGCCTGAGATGTTTGTTGAGGGAAATGGATGTGTGTGTGAGAGTGAACCACACAGGTTCTGGCGTGACTGGAAGGTTCTAGAACATATGGTCAACCTGTTCTGTTAAGTCATACCCACATGCTTCCTTGAAATCATTCTCTGGGTGGGTGCTGATGCCCTTGGGTGTCTTCTGGACTGGACCACTGCCTGGTGAGGATAGTGATCCATTCCAGTGGATGTACCCCCACTATCCTGAGTGGCATGCCCCAGTGATGTCCAGGCCAGGTCCCCTCAGTCATGATCAGGAAGATTCCGTGATGACGGTTGGTAGTCCTCTATCCTATCTCCTTCTGCTTCATGAGTATCACTCTCATTATTCAGATAGAGAAACTAGGACCCAGAGATGGGGTTTAAACGACAGAGCAGCTGGCACTGGAACTGGCCAGGAGGTGATCCTGTGGCGGAACTGCAGCCTGGTGGTGG